GGGGGGGGGGGGGGGAGGGTGATTAGGTTTTGGAAAAATACTGCGTACACAACTGAAAATAGTTTATGTATTACTATGAGAAATAGTTACTGTAAGGACAGTATCGATTAATTTATTTACACATGAAATTGGACAAGCTCATTTATTTGTGAAAATAGCTCAGTTTACACGGGAATCTAATTTTAAGATGAAATACGTGTCTTGTATACCTGTATCTATAGATATAACTTCAATGTATTTCAAGTTTCGTTTGACTCCTGTGGAAAAGTAGTCAATAACAATAATAAGCATATTATGAAAACTTATTATAAATGTTAGTTTTCATAGGCGGGATTTCTGTATTACGCGTAAGATCCTTTTACTTTGTATTCTCGAAATATATTTCAGATAATTTTAAAATCCGTGAATAGTGAAATTCATAAGAAAAATGGATGTATTGAAAAAAAAAGCAAAATCCGCGAATAACGAAATCGAATAGTGAAACAGGGAAAATGAAATTTTACTGCATCTGTACCCGTTTAAATAATTGTTTACTTTTTATACGCAGGGACATACAACATACACGATATGCAGCTTGACTGGGATGAAACTCCAATTATTCTTGCAGACGAGCTACATCTCACAGAGTATAGTCTCGTCAGTAGTTGGGTTAACAAATCTGAAGTTTCATATACGGTTGCTCAACAGCATTACGGACACTTTGGTGAGTGTACAAAAATTTCAATTGTATTTTAAGAATACTTTGGAAATTTTTCTTTGGAACTTCACATATTGAACGCATAGCATATTACTTTCAGCCGGAAACTTCAGTTCCATCAGTATTACATTCAAACTCTCACGTGAAATGGGTTTCTTTATGATGGACTATTATATACCATCAATCCTGATTGTTGTTATATCTTGGGTATCATTTTGGCTTCATATGGATGCTTGTCCGCCAAGGGTTTTATTGGGTAAGAATATATAAAAATGTTAAGATAATATTAATATTATTATATTATACTTTAATGATAATGATCAATTACTTGATATTATTTCAGGCACTAATACAATCCTGGCTTTTATGACTCTTGCATCTAAAGTCGAAAATTCATTGCCAAAAGTCTCATATATAAAGGCCAGTGAGATTTGGTTTCTAGGATGCACACTATTTCTATTCTCAGCTATGGTAGAGTTTGCATTTGTCAATACCATCTATAGGAGGAAGTAAGTGTTGAAGTCAATACCTGCTCAGCCAGTAATGACACTGACTAATTTACTGTAATCAACCCGATATTATTTCTTGCAGAAAAAATGTCCCACTGAAAAAAGTAAACAGCAAGTACATTCTCAAGTCAACCCTGACGCCGCGGCTGGCGCGCAAACAATTTCAAAAGAACACAACAGGGCTAGAACGCTCGCGCTCATGGTCTTCGCTCGATAATAGCAACGCCACAGAGACAGATTATACCAGTCAAAATTATTTGACCGTGCACGCAAGTGTCATTTCTCAGTTTAAAAAAACTTTTTATCTTATTCACGCTTTCTTAAAGTCTATACTACCTCTATAATAAGACTAATGTCATTCCTCTTATAATGCTTATTTCGACACCCTGGCTCACCTTTTTAGAAAATATTTTCATTTAAGATTATTCTAAGTCTATCATTAAGGTATATTTTATTCTGTATAACAGAGCTTTCCGAGTACCATCAATATTCCGTCGGTCAAGGTCGAGGAAGAAAAGGAACAGGACTCTGTGGGAAGCATTATCACTGTGGATAGTACACCACCTCCACCCGCAAAATCATTTTCACGTAGGCCGACTCTAGCAAAATTACATAATTTTACGACGATGACGCCCCAGGAGATTTCACAGTGGATAGACAAGCGCAGCAGGATAGTCTTCCCCGTAGCGTTCCTCATTTTCAATATTCTCTACTGGTCTTTCATCTGGATTTAAAGCATCAACAGTTAATACACATTTTATACATTTCATATAACAAATAAAAGTTGTTTTTTTTTTACAAAAGAAAAGAGTTTATTCCATTCACCTTTATATGATGGTGGTGAAACATTGAAAAGCCACAAACCACTTATTAGGGACATGGCACTCCCATATTGTAGACTTTTAGCACGAGCAATGAGCTATCTGATCGGTAAGATACCTACAACCATGTAAAACAAGTCGACATATTAACCTTATAATCATCGTGAAGCGTCAAAATTTGTGCAAAGAAAAGTATATACGATTAATATGTTCGAAAGATTAAGTATTGTCTGGTTGAAATTATTGCATGTGATCGATTAAAAATAAATGGAAAATTTAGTATAGCATATGAAAAATTCTATGTTGAAGAAAAGTGAGGAAAAACGATAGTACGAAATAACCAAAGTATAAAATATTTTTCAGAGAAAGAGTTTGGAAAAATCCACTCAAGAAAAAATGATAATGTAAAATCATATATAATTATATACATATATCATGATCATATATATTATATATCATGATCTTACATATATGTTCATATATACCAATATTTTCCTGGCAGCTACGGGAAAATGATTAGAAGTGTTAGAAAGAAGGGAAAACCAAGCTAAATAAAAATTAAATGAGTTATGATTTGGGAATAACCGCAAAAATAACGATTAAAGAAAAGTTCGAATCTTGATAGAATCAGAAGATAAATCCGTAGAAATGAAAAGTAGCTGGAAAGTAGGTAAAAGCAGATGAAAAAAAGTTTGGAATTTCACATAACCACTAAAGAAAAAAGAGCAGAAACCTTATATAAAAAATTCGTGGTATTTGCAACTAGAATTCCTTACATACTTCCATGTACTAATTATGGAGCAATGTCCATTGTCTACAGTGTAGAGCTTCTCACAGGTTATACGCTTGTCACTGTATGTTATCTTTTTTTTTCCTTCAAAGTCGTAAATGATGGATAATGGAAGGAAATAAGAGAGCAAATAATGAATGAAGTCGACAGGATTCAATGACAGCGAGACTTGAATGCAAGATAAGTTAACGTACGACGCGTTCTATGATACGTATTTACAAATTAAGTATTTATGTACAAGAGACAGAAATTACGTTTTGTCACGCACTCCATTCAATTTCCAATGCCCCTTTACTTTGCTTGGCGTTATGGATCACATAACTTGTCAAAACATTCTATTGGCATTGTTACTGTATTTATTTTCATTCTGTGATCAAATATTGTTAATATTTTTGAAAAAAACATGTATCTGAAACGAAACTGTAAACTTGTTAAAGGTGAATTTTTCACAGAAGCATCTTCAGCACAAATTAACCAATCGATATCTTCCTGATCTAGCTTTTCTTGCATTACTCTCGACACATTCCTTGTAAAGTATTGAGATGGTAGAAATTCACGTATAACTTTATTACGTATGCTAAAACTGTCTATGAAATCTTTACTGTCGTATAAAGCCAATTCGTTCGAATCTTATTCTTTATTTTGTGAGTTGCAGTGCAAGTTTGGATTCGGACAAGCTGCTAGAACATTGAATCGATTTGCTATAGGTTTACAGAATTATCAAAACCAATGTCAATGAAATAATAATGCTGACCTGTTAAGGTTGATTAAAGTTAAAAAAAATGTCTAGTCTATATAAGAAGGTCAAAAATTTGGCCTTCAACATCAATGAATATTGAAATTTTTTCATTGCCAATGGCCGTAATTACATTAAATACGACATAACTGAAGCGCAGACGGCAATGATACGTTACCACATATTCTCGGACATGTATCATTATAGATTTGATTTTTTAACTTTCCTCATAAAATAAGTCTACAGGCACAAGGTCCGGAAAATAAGGTATCCACAAGGTTGAACGCGTAATAAATTGACAAAAAATTGCTCATGATCGATAACACGAAATAGAATGCCATTATAAGCCAAGGATCGAGTCAATTTATTTTCTATAAACCTATAGGGAAAAAATGTATTATTTAATTTCGAAAAAAAACTCATGACCTTGGACATACATGTCTTAAAAAAAATACCACCATCTACCGTTTTTCTCACTTTACATCAAGCATCTTGTATCTAAAAGACTTTTCATAATTATTGAAAGCAAAAGATAAGTGTATCCCTTTTAATTTCTCACCCTGAATTATTGTCCTTCGTGTAGGGTAAATTGCAAATCACTCGACCCTGGACTATGATACCCTAACAGCGTGCGACGGTTTCATGATACAGATCTTGGTTTAGTGGAGCGATTGCGTGCTGATGAATATTCGAAAAACCTGAAGGAAGTGGCGAAGGTCATCCCCAGAATGTCGATATGGTTTCTCAAGGTTTTCATTGTGCACGCAATTTTCAATTTTTAACTCCGCCTGGAAGGTCTAGATTTGGCAAAAGTTTAATCTAAATTTAGTGCAAAAACTATTGACCACTCATTTAACATAATTAGTTAACCTTGCACTGCAGCTAAATTAATCAGCTCGGAGAGAAAAAAGAAAAATGAGTGCACTCGGACCATTTACCCGGTACATATAATATATGTATACTGGAATACCATATTAATGTGTATTTCTAGCGATAACCTGCATAACTGTAAAATCGATCGTCCGCGTTCCTACGCTGGTTTGACCGCTGCGTTTAACGAAGCACAAAATCGATCATTTCACACGCAGCTACGCCTTAATTCATCACATAGCTTTTTAAGACCAGTCAGACTTCTTTGTAAGAAACTAGATTGTACAAGGTTCACATTGTCTATATGAATTAATATATACATATATAAGTAATAGAATTAAATCTAGTCGTTACACTAATATACTATGCATTTTCATTTAGTAAATTCAACATATTTTCGTTAACCACCAGAAGTATTAAACCTTATGAAAAACAAAGTTTTTGAACCGCTGAACTGTGCCTATTTATCTAACCTAGTTGGATGCTTAAGTTCTTGTTATACACGTTATACTTTTTTGAGCAATCATTAACAGCTTGACTGTACTTAACTAGGTGGAGAACGTATGAAAGCTCCCCAGAATGGCTTTAATTATAGATTAGAGGTACCAGGTAATACATGTGAGATTAGCGTAGGGTGTTTGCGCGGCATTCAAAGAGGGAGAAAAAGCTCCTACCACCCTCAGCACTATGATTCCTGCTTTCAGTTCAGTTGCTTACTTGCTGTTAACGCCGCACGTGTCAACTTGTGCACAAAGCTGACCACGAGTGTATTAAAGAGTATTATGGTTTGAGGGTGCTTAAAACGTATCAGTCTATTGAATAGAGACTAAAGTGTTGACTGAATTATTGAAGGATTCGAGGTTGGTTTGACGTGGTGAAATATTTGGAGAAGAAATAGTGTACGTCGTTAAATTCTCCTGAACTGCAGTGCGACTTAGTATCGACCATTCTTACGATATCCAGGGCACGACCTGAAATCAAAGAAGTAGGATTTATACATAAATCAGAACAATCAGCTCAGTAGAGAAGGTGCTGCCGGGTCAATGTCCATAGTAATGAATATTCTCGCACTATTGAAAGACGTGTATAAAAATAGATTAGAAATAGGTTGATTGCACGGAAGTACTTGGTTTAGATCATTGCTCAAAGTTCGCCAATGAAGTTGTGGAAATTTCCTAGGAGGTCTGACAGTTAAAATCATTTTGGGAAATATCTCTTAACTTCCACGTGTCAACCTCGGGTAGTGTCAGGTCACACTTCACCGGTGAAAAATGACGCAGTACAGTAGCGGAAGTGGCAGTAGTACCAATAGCAATGAACTCGATGATAGAGTTTCACGACCTATCGAGGAGAAATTAATGGTAAGTCAAGAAAAGAATGTCGTGGGTTTAAGGTAACCACCCTGTAGAAATTTTTTTAATTCTTCATCAGAATATTACTGCTCTAACTGAAGATATATACTGATGAGTATAGACTCACGTTTTGTATTAATGATTTCTTTTGTATCGTTTATCCTGAAAAAAATTAATGAACAAGAGGTCGTTGTACTTACAGAATACAAAAGTTCTCAATACTTTGAGGTCGTTCGGTCACCCTGAGGACCTTTAATGATATATTGAGGGTGACTGAGCCAGGTGGTCGTACAACACATTACGTGACATAATAAATGCGTAGCTGTTTCAAGTCTTTGGAAATGTTGACAGTTAATCATTACCAGTGGTTCCGTTTATAGTTCGTCAACCGTAGTTTAGCTGGTCGGTATCGGTGAAAAATGTTGGACCTTTGGATGTTTGTAGATATCGATTTGCAAGAAAGTTTTTTAATATAGATTTTCCATTGCCATCTTTCATAAAGCTTGTGCAATACGAATGCAATTAGTCAACGACTAGGGCGACAAATTAATTGTCCCAATGAATCGTATTAAACATTCTATTAAAATTTTCAGTGTTTTAAGTGCCTGGTGCATTCCTAACGAGGGTAATCTTTGACATTTGGATTAAATGTAATTTCAGGTAGCAGTCCGAATCAGGCCACTTGTTCCAGATGAATCTCCCAATAGAGCTTTACATGCTGTTAGTAATAAGGTAGACCTTCACCTAATTGTTAATACTGTGAACTCACAATCAGTCTCATCCTTCAAATATGTTAGCCTTACTATTTGAATAATCTTCAGATAGTACTCCTGGAGGATGCTGATACCGAGAAGGGAGATATCCTGAGGCAGAAACGTGGTATCCCTAAGCAGTATCTGTATGACATTGTTTTCGGTGAAGATTCAACGCAGGTACATATGTTGACAACATGAATTCGTAAGCAGTAAATACAGAATAGCTGACCATAGAAAAGAATGTACAAAAAAACAGTAGATCAATAACCGATTACTAGGGAACTAAATAATATTGAATCCAACGAAAGTAGAAAGATATTTTGTACGCTTTAGGTATCGATTTCTTGTAGCTTCAGTCGTCGTATTTGATACGTTGTTTTTTTTCTGTATGACGAATAAATGAAACATAGGCATCGGATTAGATTTTAATACAAGCTCATGTACGCGTTCAGGAGGCTGTTTATGAGGGCACGACAAAGCCTCTAATTCAGGATGTGCTTCATGGCTACAATGCCACGGTATTCGCATACGGTGCTACCGGTGCAGGGAAGACGCATACGATGGTCGGAAGTCCCACGGAGCCAGGCATCATGGTGCGGGCGCTTAATGATATATTCTTAGCAGCTGGTGAACTTCCCGAGAATGTAGAATTCACGGTGAGTCCTTAAAGGGTAAAGCAGTATAGTATTCTTAGAAATGAAACTTTCTGCCTATTTGCACCCTTGTCTCAGGTGACCATGTCCTACATGGAAATCTATAATGAAAACATTCGTGACCTACTAAATCCAAGCACTGGGTACCTTGAGCTGCGGGATGATGCGCGTGGTAGGAATATCCAGGTCATAGGTCTAACTGAGTTCTCGACCAACTCTACCGAGGAGGTAAAAAAGTAAAATCCACATGAGTATTACTATGCTTACGATATATCTTGTTTTGATAAATATATAGGTGATGCAGCTTCTGCACAAGGGTAATAAAGCCAGGACAGTCGAACCTACTGCTGCGAACAAAACGTCATCCAGGAGTCATGCTCTTCTTAGCGTGACGGTAAAACAGTCGGAACAGATGCAAGAAGGTGAACGCATGCGCACTAGACTCAAACGTGCAAGACTCTTCATGATCGACCTTGCTGGTTCTGAACGAGCAAAGCAGACCAAGGTATCCATTGGATCGTAGCAAAATTATCATCTGGATCAATGCTATTCGTTCTTTGTTTTTTTATCAATTTTCATCCCTCCTAGAACCACGGGAAGCGACTTCAAGAAGGAGCTCATATTAATAGATCACTGTTGGCACTTGGAAATTGCATAAACGCACTTTCAGCAGGTGCAAGATATGTTAATTACCGGGATTCAAAACTCACTAGACTCCTGAAAGAAGCACTCAGTGGAAATTGTCGCACAGTGATGATCGCGCATGTATCCCCAGCTGGTGTCCATAAGGATGAGAGTAGGAATACCTTGATTTACGCCGATCGGGCGAACAAGATCTCAAATAAGGTCGAGAGGAACGTTTTCGATGTGAATTATCATGTTTCCCAATATAGAAACATAATAAGTGATCTGAAGAATGAAATTTCGAGGTTGCGCAATAAAATGACAGATGAGCGTCCTCCTTTTACTGAAACCTTCGCTGATGGAAGTAGCAATCTGAAGAGCTTGCGCGAGAAGATCGTCTCTACTTTCAGAGAACAGATGAGGCTGAGGTGAGCCAAAGATCTTAAGACCCAAGAATCGAAATTTGCTAACTATGTACTTAAATACTTCTCGACAGACGGAAACTTATGGAATTGGACAGTCATCTGCTGGGACTGAACATGGCTGCCGAGCAACAACACTCTATCATATCCCAATGGGAATCAAGTAATAATAAACTGTATAAAGGAAGTCGTGAGTCTATGGGGCGACGTCCCGGAACAGAGAACGTAGAGGAGTTTGACGATAGAGGTAAGGAGCGGCATAGCGCAACCTTAGAAAATCCACATTTACTCTTTAATAAACAAAACACAGATCTCATAGACGAGGTCGAGGAAGACGCAGCGATGCAGCAAGCTTGGGCTGAGCTTGCGGAGATCAACCGGGAGCAAGAAAGATACACAGAGTTAAGAGCTAGTGCGGAACGTGAATTAGAGGCATGCCGACAACGTAGTGCTGCTCTTGAGGATGTAAGTCAAATGATACAGTTCAAATAATAAATATAATGATTTAAATAAATATTAAAGGAATTACCTTCGCGTATAAACTCGGACGAGGAGCGTGAGTTACTAGCATTGATGCTGCGGGTCCATGAACTCGAAGCAGATAAGATGATGCTGCAGAGCGAACGTCTTGTTAAACAGCATGAACTCAGGCGTCGTGAACTTCTGATACTTCGTTATGACAGACAGCGTCAGATATCTGACGAAATTATCACTAGACAAAGACAATTAATGGAAGGTAAATATAATCGTTCAATTACGTAATTTTTAGACATTTAATTCGCAATGACATCACTAGATGGGCGAATAATACTTCCGGCGGACTTACAAGATCTATACTCCATGTATCAGAGAGAAATTCATGCGGCTGCTTATACAGATAGTAATTTAATTGATGTATCAAGTTCAGGCTATAACTACTCCTCCGGTTCTGGTTTTATCAGGAAGCTGCCACCTATTTCCAGTAGATTTCCTTATGAAAATCTCACTAATGATTTTAGGATGACAAGTAGGTAAGATAATATATAAGATATCTCTAGCCACGGATAACTTGTATAGAATAAGTAGCAAAGTTAAATGCCAGTCTTAGTAGATATTTAAAATACTAAAAGATCTGCTTAGGTAGATCGATGAGTTATTGATTCGATCGGACAGTTCCACAGAATCGGATTGGGAACAATCGCCTCTACCGCCGATCCCGGAACCGGCAGACGTAGAACAAGTAATGGGTCCCGCCGTACATCCACTAGTCTCTCCCGCAGTTTTATTCCCACCTATATCGGCCGTTACTAGAAAGATACCGCAAGTATCGCGATAATGACGCAATTCTTTATTATTATATTATATGTGACGACAAAAATGTTATTGTTTTAGGCGAAACAAAATCCTTCGACGTATATCAAGCGATGGCAATATGTCATCCGGTAGACATTTTGATGCCAATAATACCTGAATCATCATTTTTTAATTCAGGACGAGTAATAAATAAATAAAAAAAGAGAAACACGTAACCCCAAAATGATTGTAGCGCAGAAAGTCTACTTCTAGTATGGGTGAAGCTTGTGAGGACATGCAATAGATACTGGATACACGCTTATTTACAGAATTGATAAGTGTCCTCTGTAAATACCGATATTCGGCGAGAGAGCGAATAATAAAGTCAGTTTCAAGGTAACGATGGTTCACGACTTTCGCGACGTCTTTGACGAGCTGATTGTACCGACACCTGCGCCGTCGACGGCGAATCCATAACCTTTTCATTCTGTTGAGGATCCTCTGGTTTTTGAGACTTGACGGAGATGTTCTTTTTTACATTATGAAATTCCAAACTTGGAGGGGTATTGCGATAGCGAATATTATTTCCTAGGTAACTGCGAGCACGACGTCGTTCTCGCGGCGTCGAACTCTCTTCGAGGATTTCATTTACGTCTTCGGGCACTGAACTTAGCTTTATTATGTCTGAATTTCGTATCGACTTGCTACTAATAATGTGGGACACATTAATCGATTCCGTTTGTTCAATTTTCTGTTCCATTAAAAGTTCTTTTAATTCATCTTTCGCCTCCTGAGTATCCTACAAAATAGACGCAGTTGTCAAAGCATTAAATATTTATTAAAAGAAATATTTTGCGCTTTTGTAGCTAAGACATGGACCAATTTTAATGGAGTTACTTGACTTTCCGCAACTGTCAATTGCCATATTTTTGGTGGTGAAATACGCATGTCCGCCACTTCGGACGCAGTTTCATCCTCTGTCTTTGATTTATAAGCTGAAGTTTCTTCGTCTTCGCTCGTTGAAATTTGAATCTTCGGATTTGTATAATTTGATGTACTTAAAAAGTTCCATTGTTTTAACCGGTTGTCCCATTCTTTCTTTCTGTCCTTCCAATAGTGTAAACTTTGACCGTATACTAAATTGTTTCTACAGGTCGACCAATGGCCACACAGCTAGGAAAACAAAATATTAATAAAACAACCCACACAACATCCAATGTTCGTTGAACATCCACAGGAAGTCTACGTCTGTATACAGTCTGTGAACGTCTTATAAGACGTTCTAAGGAGTTTCTTAGGATCATTGTGCTGTACGGATAAACCCAACACATTATAAATATACATTTTTATTACCATTCGTAATGTAGGACCTCTCTTTCGGCTCGTTCTTATTGTTTCTCTTTCATTTCCTTTTTTTCCGGCGTCCAGAATATCTGGATTTTCGGATGTGGTGGCCATTGCTGCTGAAAACATTGAAACCGCCCCCTTTACGTTTTCTTTTGGATGTGCATTGTCAATAGTTTTATTGTCACCTTTTTCGTCGTCTGATGCATTTAACCTATCATCTTTGAGGAATTCCTCCATTTTTAATGCCATTTCCATCAGAATACTGTTAAAATATTTACTAAATACGTCGAGACACGCATCGTTCATTGATAACGGAAATGCCTTGCATAGGTATTGAATCAGATATGATCCAAAATTCTTAATAAAAAAACGCAAGTACGAATAATGTGGATATGAAAAATTAAATAATTAAAAGATATAACAATTACAAAAACCTACCAACATATCTTGACGACGAAGACCCATATCCTTATGCACCATTGCTACGTATCCAACTAGCTGATCCAATTGCTTTGGCTTGCTGTGATAATCCAATATCAAGTAGCCTATTGTCTCCATGATAACTGTAAACTTCGCGACATTTCGACCATCGAAATTTATTGGGATCTGAGGCATTGTCGTAAAATACTTGGTGTATTGAGGATGGAGCTTGCAGAATCTGAAACTCAGGAAATCCTTGGACTCGTGGAGGACTTAAGAAATGGCGGCATCCCGTGGCCGGACTTTTATGCGTACTCCAGAAAGAAGGAACTTCCATGGAACTGAGGATTGTTTTCCACGCCACACCAGACTTTTCTAAGAAGAGCTTGCTCGTCGGAGGTGAGCTTATAGTAGTTTACAGATCGATGATTCTGGGACGAGATGATAATCAGTTTATTTCCCATTTTGAGAATTTAACAGTAAAATTCGAATTTTCACATCAAGTTATTTGATTCATTTCGTTCGCCATTCCTGGATTTTAACGAGTTGGACTACTTAGCATTGATAATATGTTTCTAAACTCATTGCGAGTGTTGCAGTCATCGTTACGTTTTTGTCAAATACACAACAAAAAAAATGGACGAAAAGATTTACAGTACTTTTAGTAAATTGTGAAATATGCCCATAATTTGATATTAAAATAAAACAACATACCTATTTATATTAAAAAACATTATATTTTAATAAATACATAAAAGTATGACAAATAAATATAATATTGCTGACGCCTGTTCTTTTTGTAGTAAAATTATAATCATTGAAAATAATGGTTCGCTGGATCATACAAATTTCGAGTTTGAAATTCGATATACTGGCGAATTAGAATTAATTAATTAATAACTTGTTAAATACTTTTGGCAGTAACAACCACACCAGACATCACTGACATTTTTATACTCTAGTTACTAATTTCCCCATCTCCTATTGATAATTGTATTATACACTTTTATGCGATTTACAGAATATATTAAGAAGAAAAAGAATTGTTTACCGTTGGCTTGAAGCAAACGTTACGATAAATGATACTTTTCTATTAAAGGCAATAAAGAACATAACTTTTTCTTTGTGCGTGATCAATGACAAACATTTTGGACATGAATAATCTAGGCAGTGCTCAAAGTTAATTTTACGAAAGGTTAGCACCACCAGGGGCAAAAAGTTTTATTTGACGGTCCATTAATTTGTACAAGTAAGTCGTTTTTTCAGCCCAATGATATTTTCTTCTAATAGAGCTTATCTTCCAACGTACATTCATTTTTCCAGATATGTCACTAGCATGACCTGTACTTAATGATTTCACTGTAACAATTAGATCAGCCATGTGTTTTATACCAATAGCTATCATGTCAGGTTGGCAGCTGTCAGGATCAGCTTTGTAGGTATGGGTCATGATGCAGACAGAAATTGTTGGTTCGAATTGCATTAAAGACCACAAATACCTCACATAATACCACACATCCCTCAGACTTAATCTCATATCAAACATATGACTCAGATCATCAATGATTATGACAATAGAATCTCTAGATTGCAACATTTCATAACATTTATTTTTTAATGGTGTGTATAGCTGGCGTACAAGAGTTTTATCCAGTTTCATGATGTCAGGAAATCCAGTATCATCGATTGACTTTTGTTGAGGAGAACTCAGATCCACATTGGCTGCATCCACTGAATCATGACCCAAATCTTCTACATTGGTAGCAGCTATCTTCATAGGTTCAACAACCGTCACCTGTCCCCTTTCTTTTAATACATTTAAGTTGTAACCCATCTTCATTCCTACATTGTGATAATGGCCGAATGTATTGTGAAAGAGTACAAGACATATTCCATGTCCTTTTTCCAAAGCTCCAGATAGCACTGAATTTACTATGAAATTGGCATCGCTGCCATGTTGCTCCTCGATCAAAATCATCTTTCCACACATGTCAACCCTATCAATTCCAAGGGCACTGCAAACTGAATCAGTCATGATAAAGGATTCTGAAACGATAAAGCATTTTACTACTACAAGCGATTCCACAGGGTAAATATTTAATTATAAAAAAATACACGAAAATGGTCATTTTAAATTGATTATATCTAGAACACTATATTTCAATGAACATTTTAAAAACGATAGACTATTTATTTGGTGACACTGACAGAATAACCTAGAAAAACATGCAGTAATTCAAATTTACTATATTACTTTAAATGAACACTGCTCCAGTGAATTCTACAAATTACTATCTTCTTTCAGACAAAGCACCGACTCAATTTTTCAAAAAAGATGTATCGCATATATAAAGAATTTCTCAAATTATCACGTGTAAACTACTATCATCGGTCGGTCGCAGTTGATCGCAGTCTAGTTTATACGGAAGCCCGGCAGAGTCCACGATCTTGTATACAGGTCTGGGCACGTAGGCGAAAAACGCGTAACCTTAAGATGGATCTACCGCAAGAGGCGTTAGTGTCGAAAATACGATCACATGGTACTACTACGCGTGCCCAGTTATCTTTTTTTTGAATACGTGACCTGCAGCTTTGTTCGTAATGTGTAATATACAGGGTGTTCGTTATGAAATGCACTGTTGTAACATCGTTGCCATCCTTGTCAAATTCTAAAGAATACATGTATTTTCATTTTTTATTTCATATATCAAAATTTCGAGATAATCAAGGTTGAAGTTTCAGTAATGCGACCAATGAGAACGTGTTTAAACGGAGCGTAGATGACGTCCAGAGCCAGCCCGCAAGGCCAGCTTACAGTAGGCTAATAACACTAAGAGTATCGTCTCTTGTATCTTACTCAATTACATGCAGATAAACAGGGACACAACGACGATACTCTTAGTGTTATTGGCCTAGTGTAAGCAGGCCTTGCAGGCTGGCTTGCGACGTCATCTACGCTCCGTTTAAACACGTTCTGATTGGTCGCATTACTGCAACTTCAACCTTCATTATCTCGAAATTTTGATATATGAAATAAAAAATTAAAATGCACGTATTCATTAGAATTTGAAAAGGAATGTAACAGTGGTACTACAGTGCGTTTCATAACGAACACCCTGTATACCGTGATTGGAATTGAAAGAAGCAAGAATGACCAAAAAGTCCATCGTGCCTGCTTGAATCACAATGGTAGGAATTTGCATTTGAAAATCTCACAGGAGTTACAAGTAAATTCATTAAAAAAGTTACATAAACTCAACAAGTATAAAAAAGAGAAAATATTTATACTATTGAACTTAGCTACGAAAAAAATTCTACTTGTACAGATATTTCACTTTTTGTACTTGTCCAGAGGTATTTTCATCAAGTTAAAAGTTTTCAGTATATACGCAATTATAACATCATTTCATTTTCATGACTTTTAGGTGAATCGGTCCATTTAACTTCAGTTTTTTAAATCATCAATTCTTTATTTGTCTAACTTTAAAATTAGATTGTTAAATTTTATTTAATTGGCATCGCATCGGTTTTTTGTGTAACTTTCCTTTTAAATCAGAGATAAGAGGTTGCAGTAAATTTACGGATGCGCATGCGCTGGCATTTTCGACACTAGCGCTTGCGGACAAAATTGTCCACGTTGCGGTTACGATCTACGACGTGGTCAGGATAGGGAAGTGCCCAGACCTGTATACAAGATCGTGCGCGAGACTCGACTCAGTCTCACGCAATATCATGGCGGCGCCAAACGAGCCCTAAACATGGCGTCCCTTCCGGGTGTTGGCCGGACTCTGACTAGAGGGATTCTAGTCGTTAGCGCAGAGATAAATATAAATATAAAACAAAAATTTGGCCTCTTTGTAAATTTCATTATTTTTGTACCAAGTAAATGTTGAATTACAAGCATCAGTATATGATAATATAATGCCACAACCAAATTTTCCATACGACATTCTATTTAATTTGTCAATATCATATGGAATCAAATGAGCGGGTATAACTAGATCTTTCATTGCTGGAAACGAGAACTTTTTTTTCAAATTTTCGTCGAAGCTAATAATATTTCGTCGTTCAATATTGTTTTACTTCTGTCATATCCGTCGTCGTATGAATCATGTTCTTTAATAAAAACATTCGATATGTTAGAAAATAGTTCGTCGCATATTCCTTTTTTATCTAGCTTAGTTATTAGTAGATTCGGATAATCGAAAATCCGGATAATTGAATATATGAAGAAAAGCGGTTTTTGTATTACGGTTTCTGTATTAACTCTAGAAAGATAACCTACGTCGCCCGCGCATAGTTTTCTTTTAGTTACGTTGTCATATGGTATTTTTCTAGGGAAACTGTCTAGCTAAAACAATAATGAAACAGGGCGAAGAAGAGATCGCATGGGGCGCGGGCGGGTAGAGCCAGCGCAACATACCCGTGCACGCACGGACTAGATTACAAAGATATTTGCTCGCAGTTGGCAATCCGGATAATCACGAATCCGTATAACTGAGGTCCGGATAATCGAGTCTCCACTGTATTATGATGACGACAATATTTCCATAAGTCACATAAAGTTCCATCAATCTCTAACTTTTCAATAATAGTTCCATTGAAGAAACCTAGTCTGACTGTTGATTTTAAAATCATGTCAGTTTGTCCTTTTTCGCTCAAGAACTCATTGTTTGTTAATTTAATGATAACTGGAGATAGTATTCAACAGTAGGATTCAATTTGAGCTCCTTTATTCCACCAGTTTGCTTCTTCATTTGACTATAACATCTTTCTGATATTTTGTGTAACCAGTCAACATGTAGTATTCGATGTTTGGGTAATTTGGACGAATTTGCAATCAGCAAATAACACTGTAAAAATAAAATGAGATTTATAAATAAAAAGTACTAAATAAAATTTAATATTGCTAATCTTGTTTACCTCAGATGAGGACTTAGAAGGACATGAGGCTGTGAAAGAGAAGCATAAAGATTTAGTGGAGCTATCACATTGCAAAGAAATTATTTCCTTGATGCATGTTTCTTTCTTCAATTCTTTTTGAATTAAAGTATTTGTATTGTTTATATGAACTTCATATATTTGATTTTCTGATTCAAAATTAGATTCTCTTCATTGATAATTATACCATATTTCTGTTCATCTTGATAATATATCAATCCTTGTGTTTTTGGAAAATATTGTTTCAGTGTCTTTAGAATGATTGTTCCAATGTTTGAGGGAGACAGGACAATTTCTCTATTTATGTGACAAATAATTACATTTGTGATCTAAAAACAATATATAAAATATTGTAGTAATTAGACTCTTATATTACATGATCAACAATAGACTTCATGAATTTACTTTTGAATTTGTAATTTAATTCATATCTTTCTTGTACTGAAATCCATACTGAACCAATGATATTACATGATAATTTTTTATTCTCTAAATAACAGTCACCCTGGAGATCTAAAATAAAAATCATAATTATAATCATCACTAATAAATAAATTAATTAATGCATTCATATTGATCATCTAAGGTCCCATAATTGAGGCTATACCTATAATTACACCTTTGATTTTTACATGATCACCACTTCATGAATTTACTCTTATACTGACAAATAAATTAAACAAGAAAAATTGCTATATTTAAATTTATTTATATCTTTTATTAAACTCAAAGAAGTGCGGGCTTATGATTAAAACTGTTTGATTAAAGAACATGACGTTTTTCCCGCATTTATCCATTTATAATTTCCGAGTCAGACCTTAGGTACGAAACCGCCGATATACTTATAGGTTTGTTCTCGTTGTCTACCTATACTTTCTGCACTTTACAAAAAGTGCAAATTTTTATTGGATGATATTTTAAAGTAACCAATGAGAACTTGTCCTTTTTGAAAAGTGCAGAAAGTGTAGGTAACAAGAACGAACATAGTGATAGTAGACAGCTAAGAACACGTGGCCATCAGCTGATAATAGACTTGTGGCTTGGTAAGCAAGTTAAGTGGTGTGTGAGTGTTCCGTATACATCCATGTAGAAGATCCGACGACTGCCGACGACCTGGTAGAAGTAGTGATTTGGTGAGGTGGGGTGGACAACCGGTGATGGCTAGATAAAATTTCACAGCCGTTAGCTTTTAACTTTTGTAGAAGGTGTCAATCAGCCAGTCCTCTCTGTAAAGCCTTGGACTCAACTCGTTTTGACGTTCTGCGTACACTAGGCTACCCCTACGTCCTGCTGCTAGCATCATCAACCAATTCAATTTAATTATCAGGTAATACTGATAATGAGCGTAAAGTATTAGTTTAATCAATTACTTAACAGTACTTATTGTCATTCACGTTGTGGTAATTAACAGAAGCTTTGATCAGTAAGATAAATTTGTAACTATGAGTCTTTAATGCTGTTCAACTGTTGCAATTTTCAGTATGATACTAATTTTCATTAATCAAGGACGTTCAGCTTATGTTTATTGAAAAGAACATACTAACAGTGGTGTCAGTTGTATTATAAACATTTTTCACAAGCCTTTCAATTTTTGTATCTTGAAACCAAGATGACTTGTAGAAATGGAACATTTTGCCCCGTTTCATTGTTCACTGTTCCATAAGTTACACATTGTTAATATAAATGTAATTAATATGTGATATCATAAGGACATGATAAGTAATTCGTTTTATTCCAATAGACTCAGTATAACAATTGTTAAGGAATTTCAAGGAAAAAAACAATGACTGAAACCAGTAAGAAACTTTCCCGCTGGTATTTCGGAGGCCTGGCTTCTGCAGGAGCTGCCTGCATTACGCATCCTTTAGATTTGCTAAAGGTAATAGTTTAAAAATCTTAAAAATATTGGTATTATTCATATAGGTTTTAGTGCCTACCTAATAAAGTTATTAATATATTAGATACATGTTGAAATTTAAAGTCATTGATTTATTTAAAATGCCTCTAACTTGAATTTATCTCTTAATCATGAAAGTCTGTCTGTGAGCTCCAAATAAGTTAGAACCCCACTATTCCAAAACCACGAACTTGGTTTTATAAATAGAATTATTGAAATACACTCCTCTCGCAGCATGATTTATGTAATTTGTATTATATAATCTAAAAGGGGACCAGCTATGTTCATAGAGTTTCAATATTACATACATTTTTTTTATCTTTTGAATGTATTACTCAAGGACCTTTTCTTAAGGATATCAAATATTTTGAATGATATGTATATAATTCCATTATCCAGGTGCATCTCCAAACCCAACAGGAAGGAAAGACTTCGATAAGTAAACTTACACTGCATATAATTAAGAAACAAGGAGTTCTGGCACTTTACAGTGGACTCACTGCTTCTCTACTACGTCAACTGACATATTCCACAACTCGATTCGGTTTTTATGAGGTAAATAAGACATGCATGATATATGGTCAAATCCAAAGTTTCAGTTTGTTCCATAAGTTATATATTACTTAACATATAACTCAATACATGAAGGTCACTTCTCTTTGCACATTGATTAGGTGGGAAAACAAACATTGGAAACATCTGGCTCGCCTCTGCCATTTTATAAGAAATTATTACTAGCTGGTCTGTCTGGTGCCGCTGGCGGTGTCGTGGGCACACCGGCCGATCTGATTAATGTGCGTATGCAAAATGATGTAAAGCTCTCACCAAACCTCAGGCGGAAGTATGAAAAGATATGATACTTATTCTCCATATTATTACTAGGAATTATACTAAATATTTTATGTGATTGTACAGTTATAAGCATGCACTGGATGGTTTATTGCGAGTTTGGAAAGAGGAAGGATTTATTAGACTTTTTAATGGTTGCTCGACAGCCACCAGCAGGGCAACTCTCATGACTATAGGACAACTCAGCTTTTATGATCAGATCAAAATAATATTACTACAGACCGGCATGTTTCAAGATAACCCTACTACTCATTTTCTGTCCAGTTTATCTGCTGTGAGTTTATAGACACGCTTAGTATTTGAATACTGTCATAATTTCAGTAAAAATACAAGAATTTTAATTTGTTTTATCAGGGTGCAGTAGCAACGACTTTGACACAACCTCTGGACGTGTTAAAGACCCGAGCTATGAATGCCAAACCGGGCGAGTTCAAGGTAAATTAAGACAAACGTCAAAATATTCAATGCACAAAATATTCAATGGATTTTTATTTATCAACAGAGTATGATGCATCTTGTCATGTACACAGCCAAGTTAGGACCATTAGGATTCTTTAAGGTATGTTAATTCACAATATGACACTACCCACAAAGTACTTTCATGTCATTATCGGTTATGTTTCAGGGTTATGTTCCTGCATTTGTTCGGCTAGCACCGCATACTATCCTGACCTTTGTTTTCCTAGAACAACTTAGAAGTAATTTCGGGTTCATCCCGGAGCATTTAATTGCGTGAAAGTTAGATTAATAGAAGCAGGCATCCGTCGTGGTCCAGCGGAATGCCAGTTACACATAATTAGCACAAATTGAATTACGTCAACTAATCAGTATACGTGTGCGTCACAGTCACCCATAGTGCGTCTATTGACGTGCGTACAATTTATTTATGTACTGTCAAAATACGCATGCGCAATGTCTTTACATGATTCTATTATTGCCGTATCTAAAATTACTTCAGTCCAGTATAACACTCTTTTAATAGTAATTAATGTTTCATTCACAAGTACCTTCGTGGAACGAATTCCAGCCGATGCATTCCACACAAATATTTTTGACATGTATATGCTGGCGTATATTTATATATAAATATATACATCTCCATTAAAAATGGAATCTTGTGCGCGCAAAAACTCCATTAATTCGAGCTTATCTTTTCGATGGACCATTGATTATATCAATGGGTACAATTATGGTACAATTATGTTAATTAGATATACGAAACTAAATGTCTTTAAAAATAGTAGTCATATGTCTACCTCAATGGGTTGGAACAATTTTTATTTTATCGCCAATGTCTTTCCCGATGTTTTATTACTGATGGAATGATCTATACGTAAGCCCGTATTCAGGCTTCGCTCTTAAAGTCACTAACAGAGTCACTTTTAGTGGAAAGTCACTAACAAATAATTTAAATGCGTGCTATTAGTACTAAAAGCGAGTTCTAAATGCGGGCTTTAGAAAACTCGTGTTAACGGTAAATAGTAACAAACTGTAATTTATGACTGCTTATAAGGAAAAGGGATTGATAACCAATCAGTAAATGGTTGTGAATTGATAGATAGGAAAGGGAATTAATATGATCACAAAGTCAAACTGTAGATGCAATTATGGGATTGAGTAATATTATTGATCATTTAAGCTTCCAGTGAGAATAACTATACTCACTCCTATGTTACTTGTATGTCAAAGCCTACATTTATTTTAAGAAACATAATATTAAGATCATTTTGAATGACCCATTTAAGATTGAGTCAATGTTTACAGAACTTTCTCGTTGATCGAAAAGATTTGTATAATTGTTTATTTTATGAAATATACAAATATAATATCTTATTGTTACGTACATAATTCAATTCACAAGTGAGAAACTGTATATGATTTTACTTACAAGACATCCATACAAATTTTGTTCTAGTAAATTTAAGAAGATCCCTATTAGGGTTACATATTCTTTCATCTTCAACACAAACGTTGCCTGTTGTTATAATTGATATAGGAAACAAATTGGACATGTACTGTAAAGCTGGTGTGAGATTAGCAAACGTTAAGATATTCACAAGACCTGGTGGAATTTGGCAACTGGAAAACATGTCGCAGTATTTTAGCTTGGTTTTACAAAAGTAATCACTACTTGTTATTATTACAGTATTGCCAGTTATGCAGGCATAAACTACCATACGAAACAGGTCTTCTGTATTGTCGCTATTTACAACAATTACACCTTTCGGGTCACGTCTTACTAATAAATTAACTGTATCATCCTTAAGGAAGAAAGTTGAGGTCTCACATACAGATGGATCATTAGCCCATCTTATTATAGAATCTGCAAGGCTGTAATTTCTGGAAGAGTATAAAAATATCCTGCTTCTACCCATTTCTCCTGATAATTATTTTGATTTTATTGATGCGATATTATAGGTACTTACCCTGTGGATGCTATCCTGTCTGCCAGATATTGGAAAACATTTTTCCTCTTACTGAGAGGTGTTGTGGACCACGCTTGAAAGGCTCGAACAGCAGAGACGACACAGTCCATTATATCTTTTCTAGAGATATTCATTTAATAGGAATTAATTGAAAGGTGAAGAAGTTTCTCAAGATTACATAAAAGGTATATGATTACATACTCTGTTGCATTAGCTATTAATATATCTGTTTCTCCAGTCCAGTACTCCTGTTTTACTGGTTTTTTCCATTGGCCATCATAAAATAGGTGAAACTTTTCACTCAACTCAGATGCTCCATCTGATATAATCCTTGTTAAATTGTTTGATTCTGGAATGGCATAGTCTGCTGTTATGGAAGTGTTTATAATGTTTAAAAGAAATGCATCTAATATTGACGATGTATTAATCCAAACAATAAATGTCTAGAAATAAAAAGGAATTCGATGTAATTACAAATCATTGGGGGCTACATGCAAGTACAAAGAAAATAGATGAGAAATACATACATTTAAGGCAGCAGCTACATTTTGAGTACTGTTAATATTCTCTGACCATATAGAAGCTCCATATTCTCTTGAGGTCTCTATATTTACTGCACGAATAACCTCATCATTATTGCGAAAAGCTGTTAACATTAATCTTTCTAGCATAACAACTTTGGCCAACTGTGCCTCCACAATGCTGTCTGTAAATATATTTATAACAGGTTCCTGAACCCAGATCTTTTTCAGATTGAAATACTTTGAATCGTCAGCTTTACAAAACGACATTGTTTTGAAGTAATTGATAACAGCACTTATATCAGCATCTGCCATGATGATCATTACCATATCTGAAATATTTTTCATATTTTAACATGTAACAATACCAATTCCTATATATATTTTCAGATGTTGTAATCCATAGAGTGCATTACCATGTTTACGTTTTTTCTGACCGTACATTGCATCTAGCTGAGCCTAAAACAGGATGCTTTCTTTATGTTAAGATATAATACGCACACATGAACAGTATTCCAGTATGTTATACAATATACCATTCTAATATGAGACGATATTACTCACAGTATCCGGATTAATGTTATAACCCATTTCATTGTAGAGTTCAGCAATTTCTGCGGCGTTGGGAATTGGCATCGTTAAACAATTTATGCAAATCTCTGGTTTTTGAGTGACAGTATTCTCACGTCACACCTTGCTTTAATCCCTATCTTATTGTAGAATTACTGAATGTGAAGATAGTATTCATGAGCATACAGCACTGCTGTGTAGTGAGCATTAAGAAAACGTAATGACCTATAATGATTGGACAGTTGTTATCATTTCGTGTTAGAAAGAGGTAAGCAGTCTAGCAATAACTTTCAATAATGGTTATCTAAATGATTTTTTATAATCATGAAAACATAGTAGCAGATTATTTAAAGACCATTAGATAAAAAAATCTTATTAATTCGTCAAGTAATTTTCTCGTTTATTGAAAATCAATGTTACATAATAGTAGAATGTATCAAAAAAATTTGCATTGATTAGGCAATGTCTATAAAAAATTACTATTACACTTTTTAAATATTTTGCATATGTTACAACTTAGAGTGTACAGAGTTCGTAGCAGCAAAATCTTTAAAAAAAAAAGTATGTACTTCATAAATATTGACCAGAGCTCTGCATAGAGTTCTATATACAATTCGAATAAGATTTCAAGATGGTATTTTGATTGATCTTTTAAATTTATCGGTGTCTACTCGATTCAAACCATACGCTTATTAATATATTCAAGATGAAATAATAATTAGTTATTTGGACAGGTTTCACTATGGCGCCATAAGTCATAGTGGCACCGTTGTGTCCATCCCTCAGTGTTTTATCCGTGAACTGAGAAATCGGCAGGCCGCTGTTACCGAATAATCTGAAAATTGCTAGTATTGTCGCAAACCAAATGACATACTTTCTTGTTTAAACAATATAATTACAAATGGGCACCACAAAATCACATGAAACTAAGGATACTGAAACAACCCAATACGGAGATGCAAATGAACGCGACGAGTGAGAAGCGCAAAGTTACGTAAAATACCGCTTCGACAAGACTAACATCATCCTTAAAAAATCCCTGTACTATGACAGCTGCTCAGTGTCCGGCAAATCCAAAATTTCTTCAACAAACGTCGCAACGTTCGTGTCCTTCGTCGCGTGTTCAGTTATGAAACTGAGCTCCAGGAGTTGATTGTAATTCGGTCGCGCTGTATAATTCTTCATTAGACTGTAACGAAATCAATTCACATGTATGACCTTGGTAAAGTATAAATTTATTTAGGGTTTCAGGCAGCTAGACTTTGGAACTATTTTCAATGACCTCCTTGGCGCTATTACTCACCATTTATTAATAAACTCTTCAAAGCTGGGTGAAAATTTACCAGCTGGTAACTTTGGCGCTTCATCTTTTACTACTTGCTTGAGCTGTTCAAAAGGTGTACCCCATGACTCGTATGGGAATTTGCCTGTGGCTAGTTCCACCAATGATATACCTAAGGACCAGACATCCGATCTGATGTCATATTGTGAAGGGTTACCTGACGGGTCTATCCTCTCTGGCTGGAAAAAGGACATTCGAGAAGAAGGATAAGAGAAATAAAGAAAAGTAATAGAAATCATACTATTATTAAGGAGCTGTTAATAATACGTACGGCCATGTATGGTTTACAACCGGCGTCGATGGTTTTGGCTACTGAGTCGACGAGATACCCGGATATTCCAAAATCACAGATCTTTACTTCACCCTTCCGATTAATTAATATGTTACTAGGTTTTACATCTCTGTGTATAACTCGTAATTGAGAATACAAATAATGTAATGCACTGACTACCTGCAGGTTAGGATCACTATTTTTAGGTTATGGTATATAGTGATAGATATCTAAATGTATGAAACACTTACAGCAAAAGCTACTTTTCCAAGAATATCTTCAGGAATTGAGCGACCGTGCTTATAAACTTTTGTATAAAATTTGTCCAGACTCATGTCCATTACTTCCATGCAAATCCAGACATCCCCTTCTCTGAAGAGAGCTCCATAGAATTGTACAGTATATGGACATGCCGAACTGCGCATGGAAATATCTAGATCCATTAATAAGCGCTTTTGCTCTTGCGTATTGACTGTTGCTGTTATTCTCTGTAATTTATATTCAAATGGTTTATCTTAAGAAGAAAAGTTCTACTCGTAAAATATGTTTACTTATGTTAACTACCTTCACAGCCATGATAGTACCACTTTGTTTATGTCTCATTTTATCCACAACCCCATATGCTCCTCGTCCAAGAACACACAGTTCTTCAAGATCATCTGCTTCTACTATAAAAGTCTTTTCATCTATGGTTATCGTTGTTCTTTTATCCAAATTCCTTGGTGGAGTCCTGATACATATTATCAATGATCACATCTACACACATATAATACATCATTGAAAATATGACTTACACTGGTACAGGAGTTTCCTCAGAAACTTGCAGCTTCAATTTCCTGTTTCCTTTGCGAAAAGCCATAATAGTAGTTGTGTGAGACTGTGGATGCCAATACTATTTCCTCGCGGTTGAATATAATTCTGGCGAGGATTAATTCTCACGCATGTTTATCAAGACTGCAGAAAATTATACAAAGTCTAGATTTAATTTGACAGTGACAAACTGTCTAGCCGAATAAACAAAAGGGGCAGTTACAAAAGATTTAGATATAGGTTATATAAAACATGATAATCGCAGCATAACTCTGAGAATAGTAAGAACGTGTCAAATCTAGATACCAGAAATACAAAAGAATTATAAGACAACGTTATAAAACTAACTTCACAGATTACAATACATTACCTTGTGCAATTAGTGATAAAGTTGTAAATTTCTTTTGCCCATATATGAAGCTTTTATCCGACTTAAATGATAGATTGAAGTTAGTCGCATAAAATCAGTTGCGAGTAAAAGGAGACTTTCGCATGAAACAAGATAAACAAGAATACGATTTGATTGATGCTTTCTTTCTAAAATTTCGAAATAATTTTTTATACCATGAGAAGAACGTGATTGATCTTACTATCCCAAAGGTGTGAATCTTATAACATTTGGATAATCTTATATCAACATCTATATAACTCGGAAAAACCATTTAAATACTGGTGTAGGGACATTTTTATAGCATTACCAATAGTTTTCTCAGATTCTTCTGCGCATGTTTCTCGTTAATCGTGAAGCTCTAACTTCAATCAGATTGTGATCATTTGATTTTGGTTGATCATGATTTGAATGATTTGGATGCATACAAATTTATTGTTACGCACAATTATTATAAAAAGTTTTATCAGGTAATTGCTTATGTATTACAGTGTTCTGTAACATATATTTTTTTGTGGCCTTGTAAGTTCTTGTCTTATATATGTAACATTTCATATCAGTTTTGGTTTATTATTTAATTTCTATTTCCTTGTAACTTCATTACATTGTTCTCTTAGTTAATCGATAATTTGTTCAATTTTAATATCTTTAATTGTGTCATTATTATAATCTATGGAATAACTATAGTTTCACTTTTGTATAATATATCTGTATTGTTGGTTTCGAGTACAGACCTTCTGTTACAGAAGAGATTATCAACAAAAAAAAGTTTCTTCTAAATCAACATGTGGGAAGGAGAATTATCTACTGTTATTCTACCCACAGTATCAACCATGATATTTTTCATGCTAACTGTAAATCTCTTTAGATACCTTGTAGGAGATCCGCATATCCATATACGGGATGTAACTAAAGAGCATAATTGGAAAACCATTAAAAGGATATCGAAGGTATTTGTGCCTTTCTAGAATTTCAAATAAAAACTAAATATATGTTATATCCATCTTATATCGATATAAAAAAATTCATTGATATTTGCTTGCATTTAGGCATATTACTGCAGCATTTGTGAGGCGTTTCTGTTAAATGTGGATGGATTGAAATGCGATTCATGTGGTGTCTGTGCTGATCGCGATTGTGTCAGAATTGCTGATAAAGAATTAAAATGTAAGAGAATTACATTGCCTAATGATCAACCAATGAAGCACCATTGGGTGAGAGGTATGTCAATTGCTCTATTATAATAAGGCCAAATTATTTCAGAATGTAAAAACAATTATAAAATGTTTCCACAGGAAATTTACCTATTATAGCAATGTGTGATGTTTGTGATGAAGAATGTGATCTAGAACCAGGTCTTACAGATTGGTGTTGTTGCTGGTGTCAACGATGCGTTCATGACGCATGTAAAGCCAATCTGTCAGATGTGAGAATAAAATTATACCATGCCTTATGGAACTGTACTCATAGAGGCAGATTTGCATAACTATGAAACTTCTTTGGCAGATTTGTGACTTTGGCACTTTTAAATCAATGATCATACCACCTGGAAGTCTTGAAGTGATTAATACACGTAGCACAATGCGGCGACGATTACAGCTTCGCAGGATAATACCACCACCCTGGGCTAATTGGAGTCCTCTTATAGTAGTTGGTATGCTCAAGTTCAAATTTGATTCTGTTCATGATACTAATAAGCGATGTTTTTGTTACGTCTAGGGAATAGAAAATCAGGCAACAATGATGGAGCAGATATATTATCACTATTCAGAAGATTATTAAATCCAGCACAAGTGGTGGATCTTGCTGAACGTGATCCTGTAGCCGCTTTAGAGTGGTGTCGATTACTTGGAGATATTCCTTGTAGGATACTTGTTGCTGGCGGTGACGGTACCGTCGCGTGGCTCCTCAATACTATTCACAAGCTGCAGTTACAGGTATTATTTGCATCTCTTGTAATTTTTGTATAAAAATATTCGATTTTCATTTATTTTCCCAGCCCGTACCATCCGTAGGAATATTACCATTGGGAACTGGAAATGATTTATCCCGTGTCTTAGGATGGGGCAAGGAACACAACTCAAATTTTGATCCTATGGAAATTTTGCAGCAAATACAGACAGCGCGAACTATCAAACTTGATAGGTAAACAGATTAGTTGACATGGAAATGCTGCATTGATAATTTAATAAAATCTATTTCTTTAGGTGGATGGTATCAGTAAAACCATACAGAGGACTAGGATTTCGAACATCTCGACAAAACATTTTCATGTACAATTATTTGAGTATCGGCGTTGATGCTCAAGTAGCTCTGAATTTCCATCGTACTAGAGAAAGTAGATTCTATTTCTTCAGTCATAGAATATTCAATAAGGTAAGATTTCTCTATATTGACATGTAAGGAATCAATGGAATTTTTATCCTATAATGTTCACTCAGCTCTTGTATTTATGCTTTGGCACGCAACAAGTCATGGAGAGAGAGTGCAAAGATCTGGACCGAAGACTAGAAGTTTATTTAGACGGAAAGCAAGTAGAGTTGCCTTCGATAGAAAGCATTGTCATTTTAAACATTCCTTCTTGGGGAGCTGGTGTTAATCTGTGGGATATGGGTCTTCCAGGTATATATATAAGACAATATATAAAAATAACTTGACATTAGGTACGAACCAGTTAATTAATTACTTCTAGACAATGAAAAACTTGGCATGCAGAGTATCAACGATGGAAAATTAGAAGTAGTAGCCATATACTCTTCGTTTCATATTGCACAACTGCAAGTGGGCCTTTCACAACCACATCGACTTGGACAAGCCAGTACAATAAAGGTACCTTTGTCATTTCTATATTCTTTTGCACAACTCGTATTATTTTTCCTTATCTATCTTCAATATGTATATTCTCAGATAAAACTGCTTGGCTCTTGTGCTGTACAAGTCGACGGAGAACCTTGGTATCAGCATCCTTGTGAATTTACCTTGACATACTGCAATCAAGCCTCAATGTTGATGAAAATCAATAATTGATCTGATTAGACACTTCTTAACCAAAGATACATTCCTAGTATGATGCAAACTATCAATTTGAAAGAAAGAACCTCCTATGGTTTGCAGCGCCAGGTGTGGATGATCTGATAGATACATAATTAACAGAAACTCTAGTCGCCATATTTCAAACATACTGTACAAATCGTATATTATATAATTTTTATGTTTTGTTGACTTAACGAGTCGTTAATAACTGAGCCCGCGGATTCAATAACGTCCTGAGCGCTCGAGAGACGGTATCAGTATTGTCCAACCGGACAAAAGCAGATCGAAAATTTTTTGGACAATACAGATACCGTCTCTCGAGCGCTCAGGACGTTATTGAATCCGCGGGCTCAATTGAGTGGCTAATAAGTATTGTATACTACATACGTATAACAGAATTAATATTATTTTTATTTACAAATGTGCACATTATGAACGCCCAAAAAAAATATATATAAACTAAATCTAAAATTATTGAAGGATGTTAACCACTGCATTTATCTTGTATCTGTGTACCCAATTTAGTTAATAATGTATAGAATAATCATTATGTTTCACATCCGATTTGAATGAATAATCATCATCTTAAGGTTCCAAATATCACTACCTTAATGTTCCAAAACATTACTGTTGTACCGTCGAACGCATGTTGTTAAACATTGACAGACCGAGACTCTTTTTACAAGAGTAGATTTTGGAACACGCCCTTAGTTGGTAGAACGACCAGGTTCCACTGTCGTTTTAGCCTGAACTGCCTTATCAACTTTTGGTATTACTGGTCCTTGACTCTCTTCATCAACTACCTCATGCTCAAGGAAATCTTCTTCATATCCCAATTCCTCATGGTCCCTGAGATTGTTTTCAAATGCGGCCTTGAATAGGAGGGCTGCGAGGATAGCGCCAAGGATAGGACCTGCCCAATATACCTATCTTTGCGTTTTAGAAAATATATGTATGTCCAAATGCAGACGTCTCACCCAATGACCAGCCCAATAATCTGCTAACAAAGCAGCTCCGAAGCTTCTTGCTGGATTAAATGATCCACCTGTGAACTGTGCAAAGGCACAAATACCGGCAATGAATACCAACCCAATGGCAAATGGTGCAAGTTGCTGAACAGCTGTGCTATTAGTCTCCATAGTGGTTAGAATAGTAAGCATTAGAATAAATGCTGCAAGGTACAGAAAGAACAAAAAATCATTAAGGAGTAAAAGTAAATATATATTCTGAAGGGGAAGAATACACATTACTTGGTATAAGCTCCACCAGCATAGCTTGTACGTGTGTTATACTCTCCACAGGTACCGTGACACCTAGACTATAGTTACGATGAAAGAATTGTTGACTTTCATCAATCGGGGCGATGCAATAAAGGATCAGACTGCCTACGCAGGAACCAATAAGTTGAGCGCCAATATAAAACACACCTCGAAACAATTTCATCTGGAATATATCCTGTGAGTTTTTATATTACCTACTATTTTTTAATTTCATTACTTTGTTGATCACCATCATGCCCATTGTTATTGCTGGATTAAAACGTGCTCCGGATATCTTACGAAACATAACCGTGCAGACGATATAGATGAGGCCAAACGTTAATGCCATGGAGAGGACAGTTACAGTCAGGACGGGCATCAATTGAATGGCACTTGCACAACCAAACAGATTAATGGCGACGCATCCGACAAATTCACTTAAGAGCGCATAAAACATGCTACCATTAACTTCCTCTTGCCTGGCACGATTGTGCTGATCAGACTCCATTATTAAATAGACTGTTGGACAAAAACATTGATGCCATTACAGATTATAACGTTACTCAACTTTTAGATCAAATTTGAATAAACAAACGAGGAGCGAGAAAGATAGCGGAGCCTTTATTATATCGGAGTTGTTATGCATGTTTTAACGAACTTGTTTCCATTTGACAAGCATGACTGAGAGCCAGATGCACTTTTTTATTGTCCTTTTATCTCTTTGGCTGATGCACGAAACGTCAAGGGTAATTCGAAGAATGAAGTAAAAGATGCTGCACTCATCTCGTTCGACATTTTTGAGAAAATTTATTTAAAAAATTTTGTTCTTCGAAGGTAATTCCATGGTATCAATATTGAGTCAGATGCTTATTTAAATATTAACAGTTCGTCAATGTCCTTTGCACGCGCTAATAGATATTTTTCATAAGAATAATTTATTTGATAAAGTGATAACGATACGATTAAATGGATACATAATAATTTACATAAATATATTATAGGTATAGATATATACCTCTAAGTGAGGAAGTACGAGTAACACAACAAGAAACTTCTATTTATTTACATACTTGCTAGCAAGTGGAACGAAGATCGTAGATTCACACTTCTTAGACTTATACCTGAAGGAGGAATATTTGTAAATGACCACAACAAAATACATCACACAGTCATTTAATAGATGACTCCGTACTCTTGTCCTCTAGTATACTATTGTTTATTCTATCGAACGTTCGATTAAGAAAAGTCTAAAAGTAAGAGAAATGAAAGAATCCCCGCATCGCTCTAGCCTCGGCGTCGCAACGACAATGCGTGCAAACATGAATATTAAAAAGAGGGCGCGTACAACGACCTAGACCTAGAATGCTTCCTTTCGGAAATTAAATCCAAACTGATCACACTTATATCTCAAGATCCTAGCGAGTTGCGGTGGTCCGCAGTAGAACACCGTGACCTTTCCCTTCTTTTGATCCTGCAATTGCTTGAAAACCTTGTCCCAGTTAGGACGACCAGCGTTCGTCCTGGTCTTAAGACCAGTTATCAGATCTCGCTTTTCCTGAACAAAGAACATTGTAATGTAAAAGAGAAGGTGCATAGGAATGATGCACCTTAGACGAGAGAAAGTGCAAGGTGCAATAAGATATGAAAAATCATTGGGATTGTACCTTCTCGTGCAGAAGGTCCATGGCTAATTGAAGTCCAACAGCCTTCATGTCATTTTTCTGTAATGCACTTGTGATGTACATATGCATTTCCAAGAAACGTTCCATCGTCACACCAAGTTCTGCTTGCTCCATTTCCAATTGGGAGAGGAGATTTACGAACCACTCAAAGGAGTGCTGGTTGCGATTGATCCAGAAGAAGTCGACCTTACGCAAATACATCACAGTTGGTGGTATCTCACTGGCCCATGAAAATGTACATTTTGGACAGGTGTGTCTAGCTTTCCAGTAGCGATGCATTATAGATTGAAGAATAGAAGCAAACGGTGTCACGCCAATTCCTGTTGCTATTAGAACTGCATGCTGCGCTTGGAATATATGACTCGAGGGCGTGCCATATGGACCATCCAAGAAAATCTATACAGGAAAATTAATTAGGATCGTGTACTAAGTGAGTATTTGATTGTCCGACAGGAGATAACCTACTTCCAATGGTTTGCCAACTGGGTAATTCATAGGCGAATGCGACATCTCTGACTTGAACGTCTCATTCATGCACCTGGGATCATCCACAGAGCATCTTTTTATTATTCGACCCTCTTCAGCTATCCGAAGACCGGATGATGAACGTCCAGCTGGTGACATCTTTTCAGAAGCAGCTGGAATAATATAATAATAAAACTGTGAAGGGATTACCGAAGAGGAATATTAGGAACTGGTATACCAACCAGAATTACCCTCTGGAGTCACTTCGTATTCGCAATTCTCTAGACTTGGAGTCTTGAAAGCTATTATAGTTGGTTTCATTCGCATGTAACGGAAACTCTGAGCCAATGATTTGTTTTGTGGGCTCAGGTAAGCCAATCCTAATGACTTGAGCCTGGCACGACGTATTTGACACTCGTCGAAGCTCCTCTCGGACTCGGATCTCATGTAGTCACGGAGTCTGTAGGGAGAAGTATTCTTGGTAGATAATATTTCCTTTATGCATAGTAGAAACGATTTCTGTTTCATATCCTTATTAGATTTACTCACGCGATTAGTCGTTCCCTCTTCTTGTTCTTTGTCTGCATGTCCGGCATTGAGAATGATTTTTCCAGTGGCATTTTACTACCCAAAAGAAGCTGATGTAGTTTTTTGTCACGCGGTGTCCTTGCAACATCCACTGGACCTAAAAGAAAAATATTAATTAACCGGAAGTTTAATAATTCAATCTGGATTACTTACGCTCACTCGACGGTGCTGACCCGTAACTACGCACTGAACTCGGACTTGGTGATAAATCCAGATCCGGTATGAAGCGAGGATTGTCAAAACCACGTGGAACCTCTAAACACTTGGAGGATGTATCTTTTTCTATTGCGAATACCGGCCTAGCAGATAGCCTAATCATAGAAAAATATGAAAGGAAGACGAGAATGATGGACTGATTTTCTGAAATTTATATTTTCATACTCACGGGCTTGGAGTATACTTGGTCCTGGCACTGTCTGACGTACAAGCTTCTACTGGAGCAACTTCACCTCTGTGAAGTCTCATCTGCTCTCGTTCAAAATATGAATAGAGACTATTCGTCCATTCGCCCACAGCACGTATATGGAGCCACATATAATCTAAATGATATTTATTATTACCATTACTCAAATTTGAAAATAACATAACTGTATAAAAATTCTAGATTTCAATGACTGACCTTCCTGTTCTGGTGCGCTACTAATAGTGAACGGGTGCCACTCATAGCGTGCGATCTCCGGGATATTCACAAAGACATAATCCCCAGGACAGAAGTCAAAGTGTTGCGGCCTCTTGATTACAAGATGAGTCACCTTGGAAGGAAGCAGCAAACCGGAACTAATATATGTCTTACCACGCTGAGACCGTAGCCAGATTAATCGACGGATACGTTCCACCATGTAGATAACTCCGGGACCAACGAACCATTTCCAGAAATTAGGTCCGTGAAAAATAGTCAGAAGCCAGAATGGTACATAGAGAAGATGTGACCAGTAGAAGATCTGCAAGATCCTCATAAACATCTCATTAATTTTATAATTCTCAAAATTAAATCAACACCCGTTATATTTAATCACCTCAAAACATCCGCCACGTCTGACAAATGGCATCGAGCATAGGGTCATCACGGCTAAAATGATAATCAATGCAACACCAGTTGGATTAGCACCACCAGGTACCAATCCAAACAATCCAGGCTTACTGGTGATCAGCCATTCAGTCAAAGTATAATTTTCTTTATTCAATTGTGGATCATATATCACGACTGTACCTGTGAGAAAGGAAGAAAAAGAATTAATTTCCATTCGATGGAAGTAGGATGAAAAATACTCACTAAAATTGAGAAGATGCATTAGTGTATGAACTGTACTAAAAATGCCAATAAGAACACCAGTAAGTTTATGAAGATATATATGTTGATCCAAAGGAAGAACAGAACTAAATCCATGCGTACGTAGGAACGTTATACACTGGCGCAGCATCAGCACAAGGATAAATGTGCAGTCAAAATTCAGGCACTGTCCTGAACACAAAAAGCTTCTGTTCTAAATTTTATTTTTGAGATATAATGAAAAAAGGAATGTATATTACCACAAGCACGTGCTAGTATCACATAGCCATTAGAGTGTCGATACTGAAAAGCTCGTGACACGAATAGTGCGACATTAATCAGAAGAAACAATGACAGAAAGCTGATGTAGACGTAATGATTCTTCATGTAGGGTTTCGTCAGCTGATAAGGTCTCAAGCGTCTGATAACGCGAAGACACGATTGCTTTGCAGGTTCAGGCTTTGGCGGTACCAGCCAACGATCTATACTGTAATTTCCATATAAAAATATATTCTTTTTTTTTTTCTTTTTATAGAACCTTATACTCACCTAATGGACAAGTTCTCCAAGAGCCCATCGTGCTTTTCCAGCTGTCTCTTCAGGGCCTCGAAGGTAATTGCGCCTCTGTTATCCTGATCAGCATCTTCGAAGAGTGCTATAGTTAAATCTTCAATTTGCTCTTCACTGAAGTTCATTCCATTCTCTTCCATACACGCCCGCATTACATGCTGAAGTTCACGATGCTGGATCAGACCGTCTCCTGTGGACCAGATGAAGATCATGATCAGATCAATATTCAAGATTTTCAATACCGAAGAGACTTTATTCTTCCTTCCATCAGTCTTACCATCTATGTCATACACCTTGAAGAGGAACTTTATCTTGTCATCGGATGTCTTTCCAGCAAATTGGTGCATGGAGTCCAAGAACTCCTGAAGTGATATGGTCCCGGAATTGTCTTTGTCGAATATTTGGAAGACCCTCTCCGTGAAGAAGGGCTGAAACATACATGTAAGATATAATCTCCATTTGTATATATCCATATACAATGATAAAATAATGTCCCACCTACATTTTTTGAGATGACTATTTTTTTGAATTCTTCACGACGAATTTCGCGCTCGTTTCCGACCGTTTGCTTGAAGATCTTCTCTAGCCTTTCCAGGTTGCCTTTATCAAAGCCAGCACGTGGTCTGAAACGATATTGTTTATCAAAAAATAAATACTAAGGACATGAATTACTTCGCAATACTATTTTTATTGTCGCATTATAGATACCTGGTATTACTGATACTAGTTATGAATTCCATCACTTGCACTGTGCTCACGGATCCTGTGTTTTCTTGGTCTATCAAACGATAAAGTTTGTCAACCACCTGAGAATTGTAACGAATAATTGAAGAATCATATATTAACAAGCCTCTGGCGGTGGATTAACCGTCGCACACTAAGGACAATATAGTAGGATTCTGCAATATCGGTAACTGTAGTATTACAATTATAATTTCGTAAGACGTTGGGACATATGCAAATTGTAATAGTATATTATAACGTACAAAGGAGCACTTAAATTTCATAGTTGATTATTTCTTATTTATGCGGGTAGTTTTAATTTGCCTTTAATTTCGAGTACGTAACATTATAGATAGCGATATTGCAGGTTGATTCTTTATCCAATTTGCGCCAATATTGAATAACTATAATTAAGTGTTTAATATGTTTTCAAGTAGATAGACTTACCCCCTTCGCACGGAATATCTGCTGAAAGGTCACTAAATTAACCGGTTCTTCTCCACACAAGACATAGGCGACGCTTTCTATCTGATCTATGAAATCTGCCTGTTTCTCGTTTCTGTGAAAAAAAAATGAATATTTAATGACTTCTTCAAACTGAAAAACAATCATTTATCGGTACAGTTATCTAATCAATATACAAAATTCTGTAAAAGAATTGAAAACTTACGTGAGTCTTTCCTTGAGGAATTCAATCCATTCATCTTGCACCAGGTGATTGTCTCTGTCCTGGTCGAAGAGTATGAAGAATTTCTCAAGGAATACCTAAAGAGAAACAAGAAGCCTGATTTACTGAGATAATCATATCTTTAGTTCGTACACATAGGATTTCGGATGTAACCGATTATCAATTATATTTTAATCCTACAACAACGTCTCGCTATAATCATCGCGTGTCACATGTTTTTTACGTGTGATCATTAAAAAACAGGTCAATGCCAGAAGCAGTGGCCAATCTACGTGTGGTTTGCGCCCTTTCTCGTGCGCACCATTCGTTGCCTTGCTTTCATTTTGTATAATTTCGATTCCTCTAAGTGCTATGCAATTTCATTACTTCCTTTCCTTAATCGAATTGCATACAATACATTTCATGAAATACGGTTCAATTTATTAGTGCAAGTTGCACGATATCATTTTTTTTATATTTTCTAAATATTCTCCTCATACCGACTCGTATGACGTGGCTCTTGACTTCAGTGTCTTATAAGCCGTATTGATTTTATCTTTGACCGATCAAGAATCATTATATTATCAATATTTAATAGTGTACTGTTCAGATCGTTGTGATCGAGGCTGCTTTCAGGATTGCTCGAGGCGCAAGGTCTTCGCCTGAGGCTATCGCCCACCTTGCATGCCCCTGAATCATTTGGATCGCCCTCGATCGTATGACGGACGATCTACACATTGGTACGATGATACGGTATACAGTAAAAGTTCTTTAATGACATCAGGGAGAAGATATACTTTACCTCGTCCTGAAAGAGTCTTCTGAAAGTGTCTCGGTTATACCTTATGACGCCATCCCTATGCAGAATATCGAAGCACTCTTTAAGAGTGGCTGTTCTTCTTCTTTCGATAAGACACTCTTCCTCCATGGAGCTGATGGTGCTCTCTTCTGCTCTTCTCGCACCGGGATCAGCCATGTCGATGATACGAGGTTGCTCTTGGTCTCACGTGATCCTTTGTTATTGTTCTGGTAGATAATGAATTCTTGTCGAGAATGATGAGCACGACGATTCATGAAAATAAACACAGAAGTAGCGAGACGACTTGTTAACGTGCAAACGCGTGTACGCGTTTGCGCATCTTTGACCGCCAATCGAAGTGCCTTAGGATAACAAAGCGCGAAAGCGTTGTCTGGGTTTATTTGATACTTGGGGATGATCCTTTTTCAGGTTTTGATTTTATCACTGTCAACCGGTCTCACGACTCCACTAACTGACTCAACCACCGCACTGAAAACTCATAATGGAAATGCGCTTATGCTGCTTTCTGCACGCACCTCGCACCTTCTGGTAGGGATACGGGTTGTTCGGTTTCTGTAGGGGAATCTAGATTCTGCGTGGGGATAGGGAACCTTTCACTTTTTGACAGTACATGGTATCGAGGGAACCTTGTCTTCTCTCGGGCAGTCGTATCGTTTACCTCATTTCAGAGAATTGGCATTAGGAAAATTATTTTCTATTTGTCATTTCTCAGAGCTGAAAAGTGTTAGTTGATATTTAATAGGAGCTACTTTTTTTTTTTATCAATATATTTTATAATTTATTACCGATTCGTTCTTTTATCTATAATTTAACTTACTTCTCGTTGGGAATTCATGTGTACTACATCTTCTTTATTTTACCCTTAAGTGGACCCAGGGTTGTGATGCCGGACCAATATGGCGGATGGTCCAAGGTGTTCCAGGAGCGCGTGTTGTCTGATACAATTCCTTTCACTTTTCGAGAGCGATTCGATTGTCCTAAGATGAAACGAGAGAGGGTTACATTATTGGTGAGATGCGAGTACAGACCTTCCTACCTCCGGGAATAAGATTATGCTTCGTTGGGGAGAACCAGTACGGTACTTTACTATTATGTAATCTTACATCTTGGCTTATTAATCGTGCTAACACAAGATGCACGTGCATGTATTTACAAATATTTAGATTTATTCATGATAAATGAATATAAAATCGATTATATATGCAATTAATTTTTTATAACCGATACTCATGTTTAGGTCAATTATTCTTTACCTTATACTCCCGTGTTATATTATATTATTAAAAAGTCTTTCGTATTACGATCTGTTACGATTTTATTGATTTTTGGCTATATCTGACACTCGCTAAATTATAGATAGGCTGATCCTGATATCCATGATACAATGGTAATTTTTCTTCAATTTGATATACTTATGAATAAATAGAGAAGGAAATTAGTATTCTATTAACCATTTTTAAATCGGAAAAGGACAAGTTGTGTGTAGAAATGTGTGTCCATTTCATTTTTCTATACAAGGACTTTGCTATTAATCTCAAGCTAGAAATCTGTGTAGGTATAGACAGAAATTTGGCAGGGACTATTCATAGTCAAATAGCAATCGTAACAGTATCTGTGGACCGTGCACGGAAAGATAGAGAGACTAAGATAGATGGAGAGATCTTATGAAGGCGGTGACCCTGAAATAGAATCTTGTAGGTATTACTAGATAGACACCTGCACATTTTTCATTCTAATATCCGTATTTTGCATATAACTTTAAATTTTAATTATTGTCCGAGTATTCATTCCTACATGTTACCAGGACGTACATAATCACATAGGTTTATGTAAAAGACTGAAATCTAAAAATTGAAGCCTTGAATCAGTTATTGATTTGATCAATTGTTCAAGTTCTGTAAAAAAAAATAGAGCTTGCAAGAATTTTTAACCTACTGTTGGTAAATCAGTCGTCTAGTAATAACCTGTAGTCTGATAATTGATAACCACTTCGGTGAGTATCGACCATCGGTTTAAGAACGCACGTTCTATTGCACCGGAAAAACATAGAATTCATTGGGTAATCAGAATCCATATGTGGTTTAGCGCCTGCGCCTTACTTGTGGCTTCTCGATCAGCGTCAGTGAATATCAGGCCTTGCCTAGTTGAGGTTCCTGACACTGTATTCCCCAGGACGGGCAGGTAGAGAGCACGGAATTCTTGTGGGGGATTAAAAATGGATTTAACGTATGTAGAACAATTAACTGAAAAAGGTTCAGCGACTCCTGAATTAAGTTCCTCGACTGAGGATTCGTTGAATTCCTTGGAGACGCTCTTTTAAGAGTATCGGAATACATATTCAAATAATCTGATACGTTTGACACTACCTCTGTCATCTCGAAATGCAGTTTAATACGCCTTTGTTATTCCTAATCGTACTGAGAATTGGAATCCTGGATTGCCACAATGTTCCATGTACCTTCAACACAATGTGCCTATGCTGGGTGCAGGATGACACAGAATATACGAAGATGGATATCAGCTGTATGGGCGTACCATTCGCCAGGTTTCCTGGTAAGTCTGTATTATCATGATTTGGAGAAGGTACTGTGAATAATATATTTTCTCAATTTTAGAAATATCGGTAAGCTACGTGGCACAGCTGGATATCGTCGGATCGGGCATGCAGATTCTTGAGAACGATGCATTGGCCGGCTCCTCTGTGGAAGCTTTTGGACTTATGAGCAATAGACTAACTAGTATTGCTGATAAATCCCTTCTGTAAGTTATATAATTTGATAATATGTATTAAAAGTGTTCTTTTCTTTAATTCACTATTGCCTACTTTTACACAGCGGAGTGGCCGAGAGCTTGCGTTCTCTTGACCTGAGTTACAATACCTTGGAGGAAATACCATTCAGAGCTTTTCAAAGCTTGAGGAGGCTCAACTGGCTCAATATGCATAGGTGAGTTGAAGAGGATTTTTTTATTGATTTCCAAAGTCTGATATACTTCCGGTTTTCAGTAACCATTTGACGACGCTCGAGGGAGATTGGGGTCACGTCAGGAACACCCTGGCCAGTGCATTCTTCGGTGACAACTTTATCAACGAGATCCCCAAGAGTTTTGAGAATTTTAAATCACTCGTATGGTTCAATCTGGACAATAACAATTTGCAGATGATACGCGAATCGTGTCTGCCACCGAGCATACATACCCTAAGTCTGAATAACAATTTGCTCAAATCATTTCCAACGAGTCTTGGTGATCTACCTGCCCTGAATTGGCTATATTTACGAGGAAACAATATCAGGCACCTGGAGTTACCAATTTTTCGTAATCCTAACGTCGAGTTATTGGATCTCAGCGAAAATTTTATCGAGAGCATCGCCAGTCCGAGCTACTCTAACTATACTATGCATGTTAGAGACTTCAACTTGGCTAGTAATAAACTATCCAAGTTGCCAGCTGACATGTTCACTGGTCTCAGGGTACGCAGAATACATCTCTCTTCGAATGGAATTCAATCAGTAGATAAAAACACTTTCCGTGGTCTCGAGGAGAGTCTCGAGTATCTCAATCTGGAGAACAATGAACTGAGTGTCGTGCCCGAGGCTATAGAAGGTATGGAGAGGATATCCTATCTTTATTTGGCGAACAACAACATCGGTAATATGACCTCGGAGAACTTTCGTGAGTTTGCTGAGATTCTGAAAGCTCTATCAGTAGCTACGAACAACTTGAGACAGGTCCCGGTGAACGCCCTGGAGCGATGTCAGCAACTGTTACACCTCAACTTGGGATACAATAAGATACAAAGCATTGAACCTGGTGAATTCGAGTGGGCAGAAAGCCTAGAGATTCTTCTTCTACGGAATAATCTTATAACCAAATTAAAATCTAAGACGTTCAAGGGTGCGAGTGAACTGAAGGAACTCAGTCTGTCATTCAATCATATAACGGAACTCGACGACGACGCCTTTCTCGGTATTGAGACCTTGGAGATTCTTGAATTGAGCTTCGCCTTCGCCACGGATATTTTTCCTCGACTTGCAATTAAGCCACTCACTAATCTCCTCTGGCTGGTTCTTGACAATAACAATTTCCAAACAGTCGACGCGAGTGCCTTTTATTCACTCCAGAAGCTCAGGTACCTCAATCTAGAGTCTAATAGACTTCATTACATTCCTGAGCAGGTATTCCTCTCAAGTATCCATTCGGAGCTACGTGACGTTAAGCTTGGCTACAACTTCCTCGAGAGTATACCTCAGGATACCTTTCACAAACTGACCGAGCTGAGATCCCTTGACTTCACAGGAAATCGTATACACGTCATACCAGCTAAATGCATCTGGGATTGTCCTAAGCTCTTGACGCTTTCACTGGCATATAACAAGATCACTCGAATGGAGAAAAAGGCATTTCAGCAGCTGAATAATCTTCAGTTCCTGCACCTGGAATTTAATAAGCTGTCAGTCCTCGACTTGGAGTCTATAAGTGATAGTGGATGTTCAGACTTCAGTCTAAACGTTTCCTACAACGCAATAAGTACAATAAATCCAGGTTCTATAAACAATCTGACTCATCTTGATCTTGCGTTCAACAACATTACTCATTTAGTTATGGACGTCTTCAAAGGCACACCGAATCTGAGGACAATTGATCTGCGCAATAATCGTTTAATGAGTTTGGAACCTGACACTTTTGCTCTGGCACGTCTAGAGAGTTTAAACTTGAGGAGCAATAGATTAAAGTCCATCAGAAAACAAGCGTTTAATGGATTGGAGCGTCTTCAGCAGTTGGATCTAGCTGGTAATGATATTAACCAATTGGCTATGGAACAATTTCGCTACCTAAAGAACTTGCGGGTTTTGGATCTGTCCCGCAACGAGATTCGTTCCCTTCTGCAGAATGTATTTGAGGGTACCCGGGTGGAGATCTTGGATCTGAGTCACAATAGACTGACAGCAGTTCCCTCGCTGGCTTTTGCTGAACTTGGGTACACTCTGAGGGATCTAAATCTAGCTGACAACCTCATAGATCACCTGGACTCCACTGCGTTTCCAACTTCTTTATTGACTTCCTTGAACCTGGCACGAAATCGCATTACGATATTGCCAGACAACTCTTTTGTCGCACTGGGCAAACTTCTTGTCCTGAATATGACGCACAATAGTCTACAAGCCAATTTTAAGGAACTTTTCCATTACTTGCCTGACCTGCGTCAACTTTATCTCGCCAAATGTACCTTGAGGAAGATACCCGTGCTACCACTGAATCAGCTGACCTTCCTTGACGTGTCGTCGAACAACATGCATTCTATATCAGATAGTGATTTTCAATATCTTGATCAGCTAAAAGTTCTTCGACTTGTAAATAACAGCTTGTCTGCTGTACCAATACTGAAACTGAATTTTCTCAGGGAGCTCGACATATCTGGAAATGCTATAGAGGTGATTTTTCGTTTTTCTCATTTTTTATTTCAATCGGCTTATTTTATTATATTTAATATAAATATTTTTCTTTACAGGAATTGACCAAGGAAAGCTTCTCCGGGTTTCCGAGACTAGACCGACTTAACCTGAAAAACCTAAACAAGATGAAATCTGTAGACAAGGACTCTCTACGCGAACTGTATTACCTAAAACATTTACAGATCCAAACATGGCCCCAAGCTGACGGATTTCATCTTCGATATTTATTGAGTGACTTGCCACTACGTACGGTAGAAATTCAAGTGAGCGAGCATTTGCTCAAATATCAAATTCAAAACGTCTTCTCAAAACATATCAAAGAGCTAACTATAACTGGCCACGACTTGGAGACCATTTCCTCTGAGGCATTTTCATCGATCGAAGGTGGCGACTTCATCCTGAGGATTCGAGACACGCGAGTTCAGCGATTCCAATCAGATATATTTTTATCGTTAACAAAACGACTCTCACAATTGACTCTTGATCTGAGAGATAATAACATAAACGAACTGAGTCCGTCCATCATCTACGGGAACCTCTCCTGGGAAGCTGTAGGAACAAACATGGTTGCAGGTACTACCAATCTCCTTTGGTTGAATGGCATCGATCGATATCATTTTTAAAAGCCATATAACAATTTGGAATTTTCAGGTGGTCTACAAGTTTCTGGAAATCCACTAGAATGCGATTGCGAGATCGCTTGGCTGAGTCTTTGGCTACGAAGGTGGCTCCGGGAATCACGTCAGATACACACAGCATCACAATCAGACGCAAGACAGTTGCGCAGTATTGCTGGAAGGGCCGTCTGCACAGAAACCACGACTTCCTATTCCTCAGACAAAGTTCTTCTAACTCTAGGGACACCACACACAGCCTGTCAAGCATCTGCATTGAGTTCGGCGAGTTATGGATTTTATCCTGTCTCGTTTCTATACATCGTGGTTGTTTTTCTACTAAGTCAAGTATTATCAACACTACCTTCAAAGGTGGGAAGTCAAAGAATATTAGCAACAAATGGATGAACAATAAAAAAAAAGCAAACATGTTTTAACGTATTATAATAATACTTAATAATTACATATCGAAGGACAACGACGGACAGATATAAAAATGTATTTGTAAATTATGATTTTCTATCGTTCTTTTTATACAAGTTCTTTTTTTGTTCTTAATGTGATTGAAATAATTATACAGGTGGAGCTTGAGTATGCTGCAGACAACCCTCAACGTTTTCAGGCCAATCACATACATTCTCATTTGGATTGAACACCAGATTTACAGGACAGGGCATATGATGCTTGCGTTCTCCTTCGCACATGTAGTACATTGTGCAATCATTTTTATCTGGATGGTATGATATATGATTGTCCTCCTCGTCGCAGGTCACCTCATTTGCTATATTGATAATAAGAAAAAAATTAAATTATTTCAGCATTAAGATCCAAATGGGTCATATGGTAAATACTTACGGTCCTTGGTGGTGTACTTTCCATTTCTTAAATTACTTTCATACGGACCATCATATTCAAGCTTTACAGTGTAATCAAGCAGTTCCTTTTTCATTGCTTTGATAAGAGGATATTTGCCAGTACCACAGGTACCTTTGAAGTCGTCCATATCTATTGACCAAACCATTATGCCACCGAAACCTTCCTCCTTCAGCCATGTCATCTAAAGGAATTGAAGTAAAAGTTATTATATAATTTCATTTGGACTCGTTACTTTCTGCTTCATGTTTTATTTATTAATTTTAGTTTGGCTTTGGTTAAACGCACCTTGTTCACAAGACTTCTCTCATCGTCGAATCCTACCCACTGATCGTTACAATAGGCGAATGGAACCTGTTGCTCACTGTCCCACACAAGTGTAGTGTTGTCATCGTTAAGGAAGGTGCACACCTGGAAGGTAAAGAAGAAATCGAATAGTATCATGTTGACATTTAATGTGACAATGAGAAAGTTTAGTAAGGTATAGGTATGCGTACCTCATAGTAAGAAAGGAAACCTGCTTCGTTGGTAAAGTTTCCAGCAGTACCACCACCGGAAGCTGGTGCGCCAATGTCGAATTTGTCCTTATCAACAAGAGTGAACGATCTACCATAAGTGGGCATACCGATCATGAGCTTTTCCTTGGGTGCGCCTTGTTTGACCCATTCACGGGCACTGTAATCCTGTAATAATGAATATTTGTATGAGTATTAAACATCCTTTAAGAAGTGAGTCCGGATATGAAAACAAAGAACTTACAACAGTGAGCTTCTTCTGGTAGCTAGTGGCACTCTCAAGAGGGAAAAGAGGACTGTTGTGACCAACTTGTCTTTCCCATTGGCCATGGAAATCGTAGGTCATCACGTTGATGAAGTCCAGGTATTTGGATATCTCGGGTACGTCATATCCAGCGGCTATGGCCTCGAAACTTGCTGGGACTGCAGCTGATAATAACAACTTCGGCAATCCGGAACTTTGGGCTTCACCTTCGAAAGCGAGTCTCAGCTCCTTCAGCAGATTTACATAGGCTGTACGATCGTCTGCTCCTCTATAATAATAAAGAAGATGCGTTGTCATTGGAAAGTCATGTACTGGATTCTTAGGTAATAACTTACCTGGGATACTCCCAGTCGACGTCGAGTCCATCGAACTTGTAATCGCGAAGGAATTCAATAGCCTCGTAAACGAACTGGTTCATGCGGAAAGTGTTGCTAGTGAGTTCTTTGAATGGTTTTGATCCGAAGGCCCAACCACCGATTGCTAGTAAAACCTAATGCAATACCGTTGTATAAGATTTTATTTAATTTCTAAAAAAAACAAATATCTCATTTAGGTATTTCATACCTTGACGTCAGGATTTTTCTCACGAAGTGCTATCACTCTTTCATACATCTCTCCATCCTTATCCCTACCCTCGCTAAGAAGATGATCCTTCAGGGTGGCAAAGGCGTATATAATGTGACTGCACAAAGTCGGATCAATATCTTCTGGTAGGAATTTTCCAGCACCCGGTCTCTTGTAAGACCAGTTGGTCAGGTAGCAGATGGTTTGCGCTGGTCTCTCTGTGAATACAAAAAAAAAAGTATTTAAGGTAAATATAAAATTATAACAGAATACAATAGAATTGTATAGTTTTATTTCATTAATACTTATTCCATACCACGGGTATTGGCGCTGCCTACGATTTGTGTAGGTTTTTGAACTTTCTTTGCCTTGCTCAGTACATCGGAAACTGCGATTTTATAAGGTTCTGGTTTCTTCACAACAATTTCAGTGATCGTAGAAGCCACAGCACTCCAGTCAACATCCTTTGCATTACTTCCTCGTGAAATTCCATTCAATTCCTCCCTAAAAATTATCAAATAACACTTCTAAAAATCATGGACCATATTTACCAAACCAAAGGTATATCTAATTATTTAAATTTACCTCATGGCACCAATTAATGGATACTTAATATTTCCACCACATATGGTACCGTTGAAGTCATCCATATCAACAGTCCACGCCATAGCACCACCATATCCTTTATCTTTGATCCAGTGCATCTTGTTACGAATGGAACGTTCATCATCAAATCCGACCCACTGATCATTGTGAACAAGGTAAGGCACTTTCATCTCGTCATCCCATACATATGCTGCACCATTGAGGAGCATTTCGCAGACCTAAACAATGGTCAGTTATGATCTATCAGGTTATCCACAAGGTCTAGCAATCCTGAATAATATCGAAAAATATTCACCTCGTAGTAGGCAACAAATCCTGACTCTTTGGTATACTCTCCAGCTTTACCACCACCACTGGCAGGTGCATGGACCCCGTAATTTGATGGATTGGACAGCGTGAATGATCGGCCATACGTGGGCATGCCAATGATCAGCTTCTCTTTGGGAGCACCGAGTCGTACCCATATATTAGCCGCATTGTCAACACTGAGCTGCTTCTGCCATTCAGAATCCAAAGAAGAAGCGTAGAGCGGTGCATTGTGTCCAGTCTCTCGTTCCCATTTACCATGGAAGTCGTAGGCCATAACATTGATGAAGTCCAGATAGCTATGAAGATCCTTACGTAAGTGAAATACGTAATATAAAAGGTGAAAGTATATTTTTATAACTTCTTATTGTTGACCGACCTAGAGACAGCAGGAACGTCGTAACCACTCTTGATATTGTCAGGACCAACTGGAACTGCTGCAGTCAGTAACAATCGTGGCTTCTTACGTTCTTGAGCTTCCGCTTCAAAAGCTTCCCGCAATTCTATAGGTACAAGGGAGTGACTTTTATTACTATTTTCTATAAACAGTAAAATTTATCAAATTAAAAGCTTCATCTACCTTTAAGAAGTAGTACATAATTCTTCTTATCGTCACTTCCTTTAGGATACTCCCAATCAATATCCAAACCATCAAAGTTCCTGTCTCTTAAATAAGGTATAGCACTGTAGACAAACGTCTGACGTGCATAGCGCGAGGATGACATGTCCTTGAATTTCTGAGTTCCAAAGGACCAACCACCTGCAAGAATCCAAGATCATAACGGCACTCGATGACAATTCACCGATTTATAAATCTCATTGAGCTTCTAGAAAGTTCTTGACGTACCTATGGCTAATAGTACTTTGAGCGAAGGATTCGCTTTTTTAAGGGTCATTATCCTTTCATAGAGGCCGACCTTGCCATCCTTAGTCTCGTCGTTCGATTCAAAGCTAGTGAGTTTGTTCTTCTTGAGCCAACCAAAGGCGAATATAATATGGGTGCATAGATCAGGCTGAATGTCCTCCGGCATGAACTTTCCAATCTTCGTGCGGTACTGCGACCAGTTCGTGTAGTAGCAGACAATCTGAAAGGTCGGTTATAGTCTTGTAAATTTTTACACCTAGATTATATGTATATGCACTAAGATAAATCTTCCTCGCGAATAATCCTATTTATACCTTGTAATTGTTTGTCTTGGCAGGCTGTACTTCATTCTTGCTACTTTTATTAGCTACTCTGTTGCGAGATACTTTAAATCTGTTCACACTCGCCGAGACTTCCTGGTCGCTGGAAAGAGCTGGACTGGATGTTGTGGGTCGACGAAATCTCTTTCTCGCACCTGTCCAATGGCACCATTTAATACGTATATACATATATATGTAAGACTCAAAAAGATAGTCTACGTGATGAAATAGATATAAGTTTGTTTACCTTCAGAATGGTTCGACAAACTCACGAGGAGTAGAGCCAGACAAATTACTCTTGTGCTCGCGCTAAGTGACACCTGAAGTACAAAAAAACCATCGAGTGCATTATATTTCACCTGGAATTTTTTTTATAAATAGATAATTATGACTGATAACATAGCATAAGAAAGATCATTACAAAATCTAAATTACCATTCTTGAAAGTCATCACGCTACCGAATTTTTATATAGAAAAGGACGATTTTGCAGAAGACATCAGTACCAGGTAAACAATGAGTACTTTCTTCCTAATGTCTCAAATTTATTATTCACTTAAGCTACCATGATTATACCATTGCAAGTGGAAGCCATTAGTTCTGTTTAAATGAGTATTTACTGATCGTCAGTTGCCGCCATACTCAAGGAGTCGAGTCCTCGCGACGACAGGGCAGGAATAAATGGCGAAAGTGCTTGCGGTTCTTTATTTCTTTTTCTTTTTTTCAAAGAACTACGAGCTGCAGATAGATCTCTGTGGTAGTGACGGGGCGGGGAGTCGTGCTGCTATCGGGGCCTTGTGTCACGAGCGACAATGGAGAACGGCAAATAACTTGAAAATATTACTCGACTGTCGGCACGTTCCGCGATTGCCGAGTACGAGGAACCCTAAAGGAGACTAAACGACTCGGAGAGACGTAAGTTCTCGTAACAGATTAACAAATATGGTCACTCACAGATACAGGCTTTCATAATTCAACAGTCATTTGAATTCTATTGTCAAGGCATTGTATGATGACAAACATTAAAAATTTGCTAAGATGAAGTAAATCTGATACTGAAAATGCAAATCCGTTGCAAAGTACTGTTGACCTCAGGGCTCTTTGTTTCTTGTGAAATTATCTAACTGTCTATTGAAACGTCTGCTTGATGGTCTCTCTCTCTCTCTCTCTCTCTCTCTCTCTCTATATATATATATATATATATATATATACACATATATCTACTTCCCTGATCTTTCTACTAACAGAGTATATATTCTGCATCGATTGGTTTGCATTGGCGGCGCTGGCGGATTCGCAACTCGAGTGCATTGTACCCGGTGCATGAATGCATTTGCGGATTGGAGTCATTGCTTTACGATGCAGTACGGAGCTGTAACCATGGAGCTACCAGCGTACGGTTACTGCACGGGCTGAGGCAGTTGGTTAGCTATGTGGGTAGGTAGGTAGAACGAGGTAGTAATAAGACAGTCTAAGGAGAGTGTAGCTCATGATATACGTATGCATATATACATATAGAAATATGTACAACGTGTGATTTTTATTCTATCCGCCATTACTGTACTAGGTAGATAGAGAGTAGGCCCTGAGATTTCTAGCGTACCCAGTAGGCACATTGCCGACTATAGTAGATACAGCCAACCAACTATCCGTGACTCGCTAACATAATTGCACCTTCTCTTTCTCAGTTGGCTGAATAGCGAGACGACAAGACTTACCCGAGTGCTGGCCCACCGAGTAACCAAGCACTGAGGAGTAGGACCCCGATAGAGGCATCCCATAATTTGGATGTAAAGTGCGACACGCGACCATCCGTAAAAATTTCACTTCCATCGACAGCTCTTCCTGGTTTTGCTGCGGCTCACCGCGCCTCATTGCGCGTCATCGCACCGGCGGCGCCATGACTGCCCTGGAGGAACTCGTGGAGGATCCAGAATAAAGAAATAGAGTAACGTAACGAAAGAACGGAAGAAGAAAAGATCCGTTAGTCCTGACACGAGCATCTCCATTGAACCACGAAGTCGCGCGACTGCCGTGGATCTGTTGTAAGTAGAAGCGTCGCGGCGCCATCCTTGATCAGGATATCCTTTATTCAGGTGGCGTAATTAGAGAGTCAACCAGTAGACCAACCACCCATAGCCAGGATCTCGTGGAGTTACTGCGTGATGACTATATTTTATACCGATACTATTGGTATCCTTTGATCTGATATTCAAAAGACGTAATATCGCGGCCCAGGAACAATCGCGGACCACGCCTATAAATGGTAAGAAATGCTACTTTTGTGTATACACACTCTTGAAAGTACCGTAAAACCCTGTTCGCATTTCCCACCGCGTACTGTGTTTAGCTTTCTTTTTAGCCGTCGTTACATTTATAACCTGGCCCGCCGTCACGGAGACGCTCATGCTGCACGCTGTGTACTTGTACCTACTACTCCCGTTCCAAAAAGCTGGCATCGTTTCGCTCTTAAGCGAGACTCCTCGCCGAGAAACTCTTTCACGATTCGCAAGTGATCCGTGGACTTGTTGCACCGTCCTGCTGTACTGCGTACTGCCCTCAACTCTTGCCTCTCTCTTACGCGGACATACAGGTTCCTTCTTCTTGGCTCTAGACAGCTTTCTAATATCAATCGCAGAGTCTCGATACTACTCCTGCGACACCGGGGACGCCAAGTCGAGCTTAATAAGCCAGCAGCAGCTAACCTCCATCGTGCCGTTCTCTGACATTGAGACACCTGGTACTTGTCGTCGTCCTCGCATTCGCTGGCGACCTGGTCGTCTGAACTCATATGCCATTCTGCATCTATAATACGTCAGGCTTCTATCTCTATACGGTTCAGCTTATGTATACCTCGTTGTACGTTACTCTTTTTATTTCTCGTTATACCCATTGCATAATTATATAGTATATGAATATGTAGGAAAGATGTGACCGTTGGCGAACAGAGACACCAGGGTCGAAGAAGTCAGGTACGTACGCATCTGGTGAACGTATCTGATACAGTCCTAAGTAGCTTTCGAAGATTTCTACGTGTTTAGTGAATATGGACTCGACTACAGGATGGATTTTTAAGGGATCTTTTACCGGATATTATGAAAATCTGATGGTCAGACGTAAGACGAGCCTGGTAAACTCGACTCCAGAAATAATCTTTAAGGCTTCGTTAGATCGTCGTTACTCCAGACGGAGAGTTACGTGACGAGGTTGTTCCTTGGATGGAGACAGAGCGAAGCCTTGCCGAATATAAGGTTACCGTATGAAAGTGAGAGGGAAGGCGAACCTGCTTGTAAATACTGGCGCGGAGAGCGGGTGCGAAACGCAGACACGTTTCCATGCGTTTCAACATGTTCGACGGGTTTCGACACAATCCTAAACGTTGTTCGACTTGCCGCGCCATAGTTTGACACCGGAAATTGATAGAAATCATTCTCGTAACATAGCGCCGGTAATGAGATTTCGTAAATGCTACACCCACTTCGCCTCAATTAATAGAAACACCTGGACATACGAACAATTTCTCTTACAGACAATTGTCAGGGACGATAGTAAACGATAAACTTGATTCTTATGAAATGCCAGGACCCGACGTTAAAGAAAGATTTCACATAACTACATAATAAGTTAGACTAGCACAAGACACCTATTAAGTAACGCATGAGATGTCAGGAACCGTTACACAATCCAAACCGTTGTCAGTGACCAATTGAAACAAGTGTTTCTAGAAAAATAGCAAATTGAAATATTTTTTTTTTAATTAAAAAAAATTCCCAAACTTACAACTTACCATGATTGCTTTTCGTATTCCTACTTGTGTCTCGGTAAAAGGTTGTCAGATGATAAAAATGTTGAACTTATGAACTGATGATAAGTCACAAAAGTCTCGGTTCAATCAACAATCCACCACATGATCGACCACCGTATACTTGTCTAGCACTGACAGCTGTTCAGGAAATACTGAAACTATCATTCTTAAATTTAGTACACGCGGCAATATTATAGACAACAATTAAGTGCCTTTCATTTTAACTATAGTCAAGACACCGTTATGTCCCCGGTCGTAGCGCATATATACACCCAATCCCGATGGAGCTAAATGGGAACGCGAGAGTGAAACGCCAATCCTGTGAGCGCGAATGCACCGCGCGCGGTTAGAATTCACGCGGCGTCCACGCGACCAATGTCCGACGAACCTTCCTGAGCTCAGTACAGCCACAGCACAGCCACAGCACATCTACAGCACAACTACAGCACTCAGCCAAAGCTCACGGCAAAGATAGAAACTCCTCCTACTGTCTGATCGTGCTGACCACCACCGTTGAGGCCTTTATCTTCGTCATTGTCGACGTCAGACACAGTTTCCTCTTAGCTTTTTGCCGACTACCCAATTTCCCTGTACCTAGAATTCCTTCCTGGGTACTGGTTAATTCATTGATTCGATTTCCAATCATTTTTATACGCTCAATCGATCACCACTTTCCTCCCTCTTTCTCTTTACTTGTATGACTACGTACTTCTTTCGCCCCCCCTCCCCCCTTAGACAGTATTATTCCTTTTTCAATTCTATGTTTTACAGCGTCCTATCCTAATCAGCACGGTAATCACGGATGCAATAGAAATATTGTCAGAGACATAGAAATTCTTCAATAGGATAATTATATATTTTCGTAAGAAATCGCGCGAGTACAATAATCGTAATGAGGATGAAAATGTACGGGATACACAGCCAGGATAAAGAAAGTGGTCATGATAAATATAATATGAAAGGTTACTTCCTATGATGGAACAGTATTAATAGATATAGCGTAACTATTAATTAACGAGCTACAAAAAATGAGTGATCGTGTAGTGGAGTGTTTGATCGAGTGATTGAGCGAGTGATCGAGTGACAAATATAAACGATAATAGATTCAGGTGGAAGCCTCACGGGGTGTATGCTCGAGGGGATCCACGATCAAGAAATAACAATAGATCTCTGATCTAAAGTAGGATCAGTCGATCGATCGTACAAAGTATTAACATTCGATTCTTTGGGCATCTGGTGCCGATCGACTGGAGGCTCATCGGCGCTTGATTTCTTTTTTTAAAATCAATCGATTGATCCGACCGGATATCATGTAACATTTGTGTCTGTGTATATGTGTATTATGTATCTCTGATGTGTCATATGTGGCCATATGTGACTTTGCCACCTCCGACTCGAGAGTGTCTGTTCGTTTGTTTCTTGGTGCCCTGATAGATCGGCATCATGGTGGGTGGCGAAAGCCTTTACATGATATTGCATTTTCCTTTCTCAGCCCATGGATTGTTCTTCTTATCGGGCGCGTGAATCAGCGGGTCGTTCTTCTCATTCTCCTCGACGTACTCTCGCATCCTGAGGATAAGAAAAAGGATTATGGACCATTAATTGAGATGATAGAAGGTTTCAGTGTTACACTTTAAGTATGAATTATTTGTAACCTTGATCAAAACCTTGTACCTTAATCTATATTTATATATTGTGCATTTAGGTTATGACTGCGCATGCGCTTGTTGGATATATTTATACATGCTCAGAAGTGAAAGGAAACGTTTGCGCTCCTGCTCCTGATCCTGCACGTCGTACACCTGCTCCTACGTTTGCGCTTTAATCCAATTGTGGAGGATAATGAGAGATTAGAAATTGAAACCGTGAGAAGTAGAGGTTAGAATTTGTACGGTAAGTCCCCTCCAAAGCGAAGATCCTCATAGAAGATGGAATCGGTGTAGTATTGTCCGTTATAACAAGCGGAAGTTCATGCAGAACAGTACTACTGGTAAAGGCTGGGCTCGACCTTCGGGTAAACATCGTTGTTACAGAGCTGAAGCAGCTTGCCTCAAATATTTATACCACTCTCTCTGGCCTCGAGAGCGAGAGGCGTTAAAGAGAACCAAATTAAAAGTATCGATAAAATAATGTAAGAGAATATGGGAAATCCATTGGTGTTGCTTTGTAACAATGACGATGTGTATCAATAAGAAGTGTCATGATAAGACTCTACAGATTTAATTGCACTTTCGATTACAACTTTCACTCGAATTTCCATCCAGCATTGATGGTTTTTGTATCCATCGACGTAGCTTCGCTTTTAGTACGCTTACCGCAGTGGCGCGCGCTGCCAATTTCTTCGCCCACATCGATCCATACGGATCAGGTGGTAATGGCGGCGAGGACGCCAAACGGAGAGAGACGGAAATCAAATAACGGAAAAGTAGAAATGAATTTTTCAAACGATTTATGCATCCCAATAAGCCTTGGAAATCTTCTGTCTCACTCAGTGAGTTCTGATCGTCGTAAAAATTTCAAAATCCGTTCGTCACAATGTGTCTCTTTGTCTTTCCTTTTTACTTCTTCATCGTCGTATCCTTTATGTACCTTGTTCTGTCCACCCGGAAGACTGGCCAGCGGATCTTTATCTTTTCCCGAAACGAATCGATCTGTAACGTCAGTGATAGATCACTCACTTTACCCAAGGAGATCTTGTTTGCCGTACGAAATAGGACAGCGTAATTCAACCTTGGCGGTAAACGTAAGTGTAAGCGTATATTGTCAAGGTGCGTATATGTAAAATGGAAGTATATCTGGGCGTGTCCCCGGATATGTGTCGATCGCGAATTATTCCATTTAAAAAAAAATAAATTCCTATTAGACCGCTCCATAACGCATCATCTGTCCTTCTCCGTTCGAAGTTCAACACGTATAAGAAATTTCTTAAGACTCGTGAACTTGAGAAGTCGTGCTTGATCTTGTAGAAATTATATACAGTTTAAAAGCCACTGGCAACCCACTTCATTTTGGTAGTTTATGTAATTCTTCATATTTTATGTTTCTACACGTCCGACTATTTAAAAGTATCCAAATATCTTATGAAAGGCCACTGGTTACTTAATTTCTCCATTCCACACTAAACACCTTCGATTCTGTTTACTTGCTTCATTACTTCTTCCTTTCCATTGCCACTTTAATGTTTCGTCAGGATGTAGCAAGTTTCATTGGTACACAGAGTCGATAATTATATTACAAGCATCCGACGAAGCAGGTGCACGCCGAGAGGATATAGCTATCGAAACTGGTAGTCAGGAGAGGGTGTATTTCTCTGGTTGGGAGTGCATAAGAGTAAGAGAGAGATGGGTATATAGGTATCGAGAAAGGCTTAATAAGGAACTTACGCCGCGATACTCTTGGAGAGAGGCCACCGTTCCATAGTAGCTTGATACTTCATGTTCTCAATCTGCTTCTTCAGTGCGTCCTTATCCATGGCGGCGAGTACACTGGGATCCATGGTAACAGTTGCACCCCCCTGTCGGGAGGAAAATCACGTAGCGCTTGCGCTTACCCCAAAATCAATATTACCATTAGAACTCCCTTCTGAACTCGCCCCCGCGTCTATCACCATACGAACATAGAATTTGCATTGCTGGCCAACGACAAACTTTATTACCGCAGATTGCCACCGGATGTCTAATTTTATTTTACTCCTTTTCAGTATTCTTATTTTTATTTTCTTATTCGCTCTCTTTACAACAATTCATAGGTATGAAAAAAGCACATAGGACGTGAAACAAGGTACCAGAGGAAGTACTCTTTGACTTAGATACCGGAAAGGTTGAGAAAAAACTTTCATCGAGTTAAAAAGTTCGCCACTATATGTATACATGCCTTATTTCACTCACCCCAGGAAGCTGCTAGTACAGCTTCTAGCGATTGGCGGAAGTTATCACTATTCCGGTTCGTTGAACTCTAATTGGTAATACTCGACAGCACTTACCGATCGCTATATAATCATTACGCTCGTTTAGAAGTTACACGTTTACGTAACAGATCGCTAATTTCTCAGAACTTCGTGAATGCGCTGGATGAATGAATTGCGCGGAATACGATTTATGGAACCGTTAGATTCACAGTGCTGACTATGGTGGTTGCGTACGATCGTTGGCCAGACATCATAACACGGTGACGAATGCAAAAGGGCAGTCCTACTCAGGGAACCGTTTTTCGTACTCACTCACTGGCTGTATGATGAAATTCTGAGGAGAGACAACAGTTAATGGGCTTCGTGACTTTCCGACTTTTCTCTAGGCCGAAGCCTCTGTGAGCTTGTAATCTAATTTGTTGCTGACTCGTCTATATGATGTATCGACGGATACTATTTACTTCGGTTGGATATTCCTATGTTATGTGTGTCAAACGTATTGGGCGTTTAAAAAGGATCTCATTATTATGTTATTGTCGTTAATTATCAATTTAACTAATTGTGGAAGTATTTAGAAATACCGATTTTCTAAAGAGCTTTTACGTAATCCTAAAGTATATAGTAAGTATGAACTGTATATACCCGGATGCCTATCGGTAATTCGTTACGGTCTTTCTAGAATTGACACATTTTTTAAAGACTGAAGAATTATGCCTGTTACATTACTTCTATTTTATTTCTTCAAGTTTCTTACGAAAGAATTCATAAAAAACTCAATCATCCAATATCTCTCACCACTTAGAATTTATGACCATTCAAGATGCCTTTTCACATTGAACGAACTAGTACAAGACGCATAACTCCGAAAATAAGATTTCTTATTGGCCAGAAACAGTAGCCATGTGACTGATCAGACCAGATCGGATGGATAACTTTGTCGTGATGATCGAATTTGACCAATGAAAAATCCGGATTTTTTAGTTATCCGTTTTGTACGACTAATCAGTTCAACGTAGGATGGTAACTTCCAAAATACATTATTTATAACATTGATTTTTTAAATTTTCAAGCGTTTTAAAGTAAACTTCTGGAAACGTTCTTATCAGCTTATTGCGCGCCAATTTTATTGCTACGGATTCGCTGTGTCTCTCATACACTTAAATACTGACGAATGGCTGCCTCTCTCGCACTCATTGAGGTACATGATATTTTATGTAAAAATCTCGAAATTACCTGTGCATTAATCAGTCAATCAAACTAATGATTTAATAATAGGACTGTGCACCTTTCCGAGTTTCTAAAATTTGTGATATAACATAAATCTGTTCTTCAGGTCTTTGAAAAGATTTCTTTGATATGGCTTTCAGACTGACCGCGGACAGTTCTGGTGTCGCCTCTATTCCACAGTTACATACCAAATTATAACCTCAACTAGTTCCGACCACGTGTTTTGTGAGGCCGGATTGTGGTCGAATACACTGTTTTTTGCATAATCCATAGAAAATGGAGAAAAGTTATAGACTTTATTTAAAAAATTTACCTTATGAAGTAAACGAGAATGAAGTTAAGAGTCTCTTTGAAGATTATGGAACTGTTGTAAATGTGGATATAAAGGAGAAAAAAGATGTTGAAGAAAATTGTGAAAGCAAATTTGCCTTTGTTGTGATACTAGCCACTGATAAGAATCTAAATGCTTGTAAGTAATAGATATAATATCATAGATTATCATATTAATATTGTGAACTCTATTTCAGGTTTTAAACATGTAAACACAGTTACATTGAATGGCAGAAGCTTGTCTGTTGTCATTGCTAAAGAAAGTTTCCTTGAACGTCTCAAAAGAGAACGACAAGAAGCTGCTGTGTCAAAATCTAAAGAGACAAGCAACACATTGAATAGTGTACCTCTTGAAATCGCTCCCATCAAATTGAAAATCAATCCTGTGAAAACTCCTACTAGTATTAAAATACAGAATGATCATGTTTCTAGTAGTTTTAAAAAAAGGAAGAATAATGAGGAAGAAGTAAAGGATATATGCATTGACCCTATGAATCAAGATTGGGAAGATGATATGAACTGGAAAGAAAAACATTCCAAGATTGATATTAAATCACCAGAGAAAAATAATGTAAATCATGTATTTATAGACGTTCCTAAGAAAGAAATGACCATCTCTGAGAAAAAAAGAATACAATCGTTGAAGGAGAAGAAATTAATTTTCAAAGCTAAAGAGCAAATGATTCGAGATGCATTGAAATCTGTGGTAGGTATAATAGTTGTACAAGCAATGCTCCAATATTATTGTTGTTTAAATAATCAGTCATAACGTTTTTAGGATAAAGCCCAAAATAAAAAAATCGTTTTCGAGGATGACGTAGGCCAAGAGGATGATGCAAAGAAAAATGGAAAAGATAGAAAATTATTGTTTGATGATGCTGAAGATGTTGAAGCTAACTGGGATGAAAATCAATTTGAGATTAAAAATAAAACAAAGGAAAAGGTATTTTACTTCTTATATCAATAAATTCAGTAATTCCCGTTATCACTATCATATGTTAATATTATTCTGCTATTATTTAGCTATTATTATTTTCCTATAATTTTCTTAGTTATCGATGTTACAAGCAAAATTGGGACACGACAAACGTTTTACTCTTGATGAGCGTTTTATCGATGATGATGAGGTAACACACGAATCTGAATTACAAGAAAAAGTAGAGTCTAGTTTGGAGGATGAGAAAAAATGGCAACTAGATATACTACAAAATGTTTTAGGAAAGCCAATTAAATCTCGAACAGAAAGCAATGCTCCAACAAATTTAAAAAGGTTTGACGTCTCTATTGATAATCGTAAATCGCACTTTTAAGCACTTCCAAAAATAAATATGTTGTTGCAATTTCTAGAAAGGGTCAAATGATACGATATGACCCAACTGAAAACAATCATTATAAATATGAAGTTCCAATTGAAACCTCTGTGCCAAAGAAATCAGAAAAAAAGAAACGAAAAATCAGTGTTACTGAGAATGAAGAACCAGCTGTTCCTGTATCGAAGGATGTATTCTACAATGTATCTGATAGACTGGCTGACAGCTTAAAACAAGATAATGAATTTAGTTTATTAAAAACTTTTGCTAGAGAACCAACCAACACAGGTGAGATTTCAGTTAAAGATCATTTTGATCAAATAAAATTTAAGTGACAGTCTAATACGATATTAAACTTGTTTTCAGTAAATGAACCTGAAGCAGAATCCTACAGCAAGTCAAACTTTCAATTTGATTTTAACAAAATGAATCCATTTAAATATGATTCATCCGACAACGAAGATCACGGTGATGATAATCAAGAAACATCAACCGGTGATAATGAAAAAATAAATTCAAAGATTTCGCATGGATGGAATGATCGATTTTTCTTTGCGATCGATGATGTTCGCTTTCATGGTACGTATAATCAATGTAATTCCGTAGTTGGTCCCTGTGGAGTTGGCATAAAACCATTTTAGAAGAAGGAAACGAAATAATCAATGTAATGAACTTTTACTTATTATTTTTGCTATTGAAATAGTTTATACTACAGTTTATATATGCTCCTTAGATACCGACAAATTTTTCAACAAAGAAGCAGCTCCTCGCAAAGAGTTTGAGAATCTTAGGCGTGAATTAAAACAAATAGTACGTACAAAGATACGTAATAATACAAAGAAAACTACCTCCTGGACTAAAAGGAAAACAAAGAAATAAAAGTGTAATGTATTTTCTCATTATTCAATTAAATTATTAGCCTTAAATAATATCTGTTTTATTTGAATAAATTGGTTCACATAACGGAATGATTCAACATCTCATTTAAGATTATATGACCCTTAGCATAATAAATGTGAAAGAGCCATAAATGGAACAATATTCGTAATAGCACTGTATATCATTCATTCCTTCCGCTGCCTGGAAAACCGCATAAATCTTCTATCCTACAGTATTAGTCGGTTTGTCAGGAATCCTCTCATTGTATCCTGCTTTTTCCAGTTATTCTCCACTAATTGTAATCCTAATCCATTTACTCTATTGAAATATATCGTATATACGATATAGGTACTTCACTAATCCCCATCCTTTACCATGATTCAGATCAATATTTTTACCTTCATCATCGTATTAATTACTACTAGATGAAATGTGTGATCAAAAGTTATTCATGAGACGTATACTTACACACTAGAACTTTATACACTATATACACTTTATACACTGTCCATCCATAGAGGCAGCCATCTTGTTGTTAATCTTGTAAACTCCAACAGCTTATTGCAATATAGTAATCCATTATGGGATATCTGCTACGTTCCACCTCCCCTATACACATACACAGCCTACGTATATACATTGTATATACAAATAGAGTCACTTATGCCTATAGCCAGTCCTACTCGCTAAACACACTATCTATTACATACTACATAATTCATGTTATTGTTACGTATATCAACCTTCATTTCTAAACAGAAGAATAACGTAGCCGACAGGAAGCATAATTGCAGACTCAGCACGTTACCCAGTGCATTGCCCGTGCCACCTACCCAGCTGGTTAGCTGAGTGCATTCCTAACGTCCTAACCGTACCTAGAGCATCAGCAAAAATCGACTATATAAGCAGCCAAAATCATGGCACAGACGCTCAGAAAATCATTCAATTTCACGCGTAAAAGATCGGACTGCACGTTGTCACTCGTGGCTCTAACCGTTAGAGTATTAGATTCAGTGTAGTATTCGCAATCTGGCCTAGGTACGGATTCGTTATTACATACCCTAGGGAACAAGCTGGATCGGTTACCGGGCAAAATAGAGCTGCATAGACTACTCTTTCCGAATATCGCATAGTTTTGATAGATTTCTGTTCCACCAAATTTCATCTTGCCTTAACCTCACACACAGTTAGGTTTTGTTATCCGATATTTCTCATAATAGAAACACTATACACGACAATTAATAGAAAACTTTTAAATTGGTTGTAACAATATATCGTAAACTCACATTTTACTCGCGTTTTTAAATATCTCTTACCCATCCTCAACATTTCAGAGAATATCTGCCCACGTTGGAATAGCAAGGCGTGTTTCAACACCTTAAACGAGCAGCGAACCCACCATTGAGTGTATTCTTACCGCTCGGAATTCACTCAAACATTATTCACGTTACCTCCGGTCGTTTCTTTTTTTTTGGTTACTTCTAAATTTTTGTTATCAAATTTAAAGGCCTCGCTAGCCACTACGGCCTACGTAACATTATACAACTGTAATTATAATGTCATATAGATTAATCACCCATATATGTAATCGACCTTTATGATTTTTGCTTGCTAATATGGTTTGCTTTATATTCTGCTTATAATCACGATTATTTTATATCATGCTTTCCATTGTCATCCATATTTCATGGACTATATTATTTCCGTTATATTAGGTGAGTGAATTAAATTTTACAGTTTTCATAGAAACTTACGGCTTTATTAAAAATAAACAAAAAAAATCAATTCGGGTAATATTCTCCGTTGTTTTCGACGAGCCTCCGACATCGATGTAGTAGCATACGAATGACACCCCAGTAAAAGCTGGCTGGTTTCGAGGCGATAAAGTCATCGATAAATTTGTTGATATTTTTAACTTTTTAGAATCGGCTTTCTGCTAAACGGTGCGCTATTGATCGGCATACGTGATAGTCAAAAGGGTCCATGTCTGGTGAATACGCTGGATGTGGGAGAACTTCCCACCCAAAGTTTAAGATAAGTTTTTGGGTTGCGAAAGCAACGTGTGGTCGAACGTTATGATGCAGGAGAATGACTTTTCACCTTCTGTGTCCTGTAAATGGCCCTTTTTGTTTGATTTCATTGCTCAAACGGTCTGATTGGCAGTGATCATATAACTCGGTTCTAGGAGTTCATAATAAAGGACACACTTCATATCCTACTAGATACACAGAAGCCATTTCGGTTGAGGCGTTAATGTTGTTGGTTCTCCAGGATCAACCCATGATTTTTTTTGTGGTTAGAATTGTCATGTAAAAGCCATTTTTTATCTCATCACGATTTTCCAGAGAAAGTCCTTTTGTTGTCTAGCGAGCAGTGAAAGGCCTGTGTTCGTCCGTGTTGAAGGTTATGTACGCTCAGTTTATGTGGGACCCATCTTCCTACTTTCTGTATTTTTCCCACTGCATGTCTTCTCGATCAACTCCTAGTGTTGTTGCATGTTCTTCCTGCGTTTTTGCCGAATTTTGAGCAAATAATGCTTCTAAATAATCCAAAAATTGTTGAGACTATCCAGGACGCGCACTATCAGTGAGATCGAAATCATTTTATTTAAAACGTTTAAACTAATAATTACACGTTTCGTAGGACACAATATTCTTCCCGAGATCAGAAAAAATTGATTCGCACGTTTCGGTGGCGTTTTTTGATCGATGCAATAACAATGTGCAGTCTATCGATTGCCATTGCCATTACTATTTCGTGAGGTTGTGTTTTTCGCCCAGTTTATTCATAAAACGTCTTGAAAAGGACGTCAATATCAAACTTTAAAACCCAAAAGAACCCTAAGTTATTACTATTAAAGTTAATACAAAAACGCTGGAATTGAACTTAACCCGGTTTAAAAATATCAAAACTTAACAAAATGGCACGGTTTTTAAATCGAGTTCGATTTTTTTGTGAAAAATGTCCGTTATTTGCAAAAAAATAAAAATGTTTGAAAATGTATACAAAATTTCATTATGATCGATCAATTAGTTTTTGAGTTATATTACACGTGAATCTTGCAAACGTAGTTTTGAGAAAAACGCGTTTAAAGTTTTGATAAGTAAAAACTCTATGAAATGACTTACCGGCTAATCAGCGATTCCTGCGCCATACAATAATACTTTCTTTTCCTCGAAATGCTCATTCTCAGCAAGCTGAGCTTCTCCTCGGGCTTTTCGAGATTCTTTTGATTCAGAACTGCTGCGTCGATTCTGTCGAACAATTCGCTTATTATCGCTGTCTTCAGCGTACGACTTACAGTGTCACCCAATGACTAAGTCCAGATCATCCATAATGCGAAGAATTATTGAAGTATATCCTTCATTGAATATACCTGCAGCTAAAAATGCTGCTATTTCAATTATTTTCAACTCCGAATGCAAGTGTTTCGGAGCGAAGCGCCAAACGGTTGCATTGAAACTTTCATAAACATCGCTGCAGTAAATTATCTTGAGAAAGATCTTAAAAAATTGGCAGAATATTGACAAAAGCGGAGACCTGTGTCTGATCTGACCTGAAATGTGAGAACACCGAGCGGATGGCTCATGCTCTTTTAATATAACTCAAAAACGGCTTCAAATTTCAGTGAAAAATTTGCATAGTATATTCTTAAGATGTTATACTAACGTTTTATGTATAAAAAGTCGATTTTTTGAAGCTTCTACATGTAGTTAGTTGAAGCCCCTTAACTTCATTTGGGCCATATAGAATGTTGTTTTTGACACTTTGTGAATTAGTTTAAGACGTTTGCACAATTAGCTTAGCTGTTATAATGCATCACGCTTTTCTATATATGTATAATGCTTTGCTTGAAATTCAGTGGCGACTTTTCTTAACTCTTGCTTCTTTTTCATACTACCTAATAGACTTGCTGTCATTTTCAATATAGCTCAGGTGCGTCAGACTCACGCTTTTGGTGTGTTGTTTCTTTCTTTCCGGCTTATTTGCTCTGCTAGACGCTATGACGCTTCCTATCAGCTAGCTCCTTAGAAAGGCTTCAGTAAATTTTTAACCTACTTACTCCTCCCCTTAACCTTTACAAGGCCAAAATTTTCGACTAAAATTAGTTGTCCTTTCACCTTGAAAATCTATAAAAGCCAAATTTGTTAAAAATTTATACGAAAGACATGTTGCATCCAATATTTGGGTTTCTTTCGGAACCCGAAAGAGTCCGGGTCCGTTCTCTAAAAAAAGTTAATCTCTGCGTTTTAGTGACAGCCTTTTTTCCTTGGTGAGACTAGATTAAGTTTTGATGCTACTTTAGTTCTATTTTGGTCCCTCTTAGGTCGTTGAGGTAAATCTTGATTTCGTTAATTAATATAGTCCTAATTTTTTTTGAGATTTTGACAAACAGACGACTCTTATGATTGATTGGAGTGTCGTCTACTTCCGTTGTGTTAACACTTTACCGACTGGTAGCCTATTTATCGGCTTTTTTTTCGCTAATGCTTATCGACCGATAGCATATTAATCTGTGGCCGAGTGAGCGGTGGGAAGTACCGTAGGGAAGTTACCATCAAAAGATAAAAATTTATGTTTTTAATGACTGAAAAATTGTTCCTTAAATACTTCTTATGTTTTCCTAATTGCTCCGCTGCGGTTATACAATGATTAAAAAATATTCATTAAAATAGAAAAATATTTTTTGTATTACTACTCCATATAACCAAACAGATTTTCATATGATTTTCTTAATGAATTAGTTGCTCTCAATTTGCTCCAGTTTGCATCTGTGACAGGTGCATTGGAAGATAAGCCGAGAGTGCTGCACTTGAGCAATCGGAGCCATGAGGTACCAAGTTCGCAGCCGGGTATAATTAAATGTGGCGCCATATACCATGTGTGGCGACCAACGAGGCAGCAGCCAATCAGAGGCGAGGACGCCCGCAGCTGTGGCGCCCCCAGGATCAGGCGCTGGAAGAAGCTTCTAGTCGTCTCGCACCTGGCACAACAGCTTGACTG